AACTTCACATGTCCTCCTCTCTTTGAAGATTTCTCTTCCTCAAATTCATCTTCCTGAATTTCCTCAACTTCATCAGTTTCTATTGCTTGAACCATTTCAGTTTTCATTTTCTTTTTTCTCCTACCTTCAATCTTTCCTTCATCATACAGTACCATCTTTTGCTCCTCCTTTTCAACCTTTGCCTTCACTGAATTCCCTTTCTTTGCCTGTTTCTTCCTTGGCTTTACTTCATCCTCTTCCTCCTCTTCCTCCACCTCATAATCATCCTCACTGACAGGCTCTTCTTCTGCTCTATAAACTGACTCTTCACTATCATCATCACTGTCAGTAGAACTTTCATCAGTAGGATCTTGAGAGGGTTCATCTGATGGTACTTCTTGTATTTTTTTTCTCTTTCCAGCATTTCTCTTGGCAGGACTGACATCTGAAAATTAAATATATATAATTTTGTTTAAGTATTGAAAATGTACAGTAAGCAAATGATAAAATGAACAAAATTGTTTTCTCAAATGATCATTCTATATATAGAAATTGAACATTTATAATATATCATTATATACCTGCTTTTCTTTTGCCAGCAACCTTAGAAGTTTTCTTCACTTCTTCTAGAGTTTTCTTTTTCCCACCTATATATTGAAATTGAACATTAATGATATACCATCATAAATGATCATTCTATACATTAAGATTGAACATTTACCCTTTTTGCCTTGGTCTGGAGGATATTCAGCAGGAGCACCTGCCATTTTTTTTATTGGAGTAGGTGCTGGAGGTGGTGCATCAGCTTCCTTTTGAATAGGAAAATTCCTTGTAGACATTCTTCTCTTCTGTCCTATTTTTGCGGTTTCTTTAGCAGGTTCAACATCCTTCTTCAGGCTTCCCTTTTCAGATTCATCTAACAGAACATCTATTGTTTTTAAAAAAAATTTATGTTAGTATATTTGAAAGTGTAATATTTATTGTGTAACAGAAAAGTATTATGATTACCTTGGCTCCTTGTAATTCTACCACTTGGCACAACAACAAGGCTTTTGTTTTTGTTTTTCCTTGCAACCATTTTGTATCTTGTTTTCATTTTGGTTGACTGATCACTTTTTTGTGATGATGGAGCTGTCTCCTCACTAAGTTTTGTGGAAACTTTATCATCATCTTGATCTAGAAGATAAGTTTCATCCTCAATTTGAACAAAATCAGGTGCAATTTGTGCTGCATATGAAATGATCAAATATAAAAGATTAAATAAACATTTATTAAATTGGATGACAAATGTTTACTATATACAATATAAATGAACATTTCAGGTAATGAATATGTACATTTTCCACTATTTACCTTTCGGATCTGTTGTCTTTGTAGACTCATCTTCCACTGTTTTCTCTTTAGGGATTTTCTCCTTTTCAGGCTCTTTTTTTCCCTCTTGTCCTTCTATGAAAATTTAATTAGTTAATATTTATATATTTTTTTTAATCTTATTGAACATTCAATATTATGTAGATCCAATATGAACATTTTATGTAATAAAAATGTACATTTATAAATTTTTACCTTCTACATTTGTTGTCTTTGGAAAGACATCTTCCACAGTTTTGTCTTTAGGGCTTTTCTCTTTTTCAGTCCCTTTTTTTCCTTCTTGTCCTTCTATTAAAATTTATTTAGTTAAAATTTAATTTTTTTAACCTTATTGAATATTTAATATTATGCTTTTCCAATATGAACATTTTTTGTAATAAAAATGTACATTTTAAAATTTTTACCTTTTTCCACAGTTTTCTCTTCTATTGGCCCTTTTTCTTTCTTTTTTGCTTCACCTTCAAAAGTAATAGTATTGTTAAAATTGATATTTATGACTATTAAACAAAAATATTCAATAAATATGATCATTTACCTTTCCTGATTTCCTTGCTTGCCTTTTCCATTCTTTTGAGATTTCTCATAATTCTGATTGTCGATTCTTTGTACTTTCTGTAAATGTATGATATTAACTTTGAAATATATTCATTAATTGATTAAATTAATTCAATTATTTAAATTTAAACATACTTTGGGTTTCTCTCTATGTTTAAATGTATTTCTTGCATCTTGTCCTTTAATGTTGTTATTCTTGAATCATCTTTGGGTTTTCTGATATTTCATTAAAAATATGTTTGAATTTACAATTTTGATTAGTAAATAAAAAAATGAACATATAACTTATATTACTATTGGTCATGAGCAAACTTTTTTGTACTGATTTTCAAATGAACATATAGTCTATCTAAATTGAACATTTAAGTTTTCTTACTTTTGGCCAAGACTATTCTTTACTGGATTGCTTTGCACTTTTGGTTGAACTTCTTCTTGCTTGCTGAAATCAATATTAAGAAATACTTTAAATAAAAAATGCACATAAATTGTACATAAAATATACTGTTATAAAAATGAACATTTATTTATATAAAATTGATCATTAGTATACCTTTCATCCCTACTCTCTTTGTCAGTTGTGTTATGTGTAGCAGACACACTCTTAGTTGTTGCATTAGTAGCAGGAATGTTCTCACTTTGTTCACTTAAAAAAAACAGAATTATTTTATATAATATGATATTAAAGTATGAACTAATTTATACAATGAAGAAGATAATTAGTTATTTTGTATAAAGCTTTTATACCTTATTGTTTGATTTGTCTCTGGTGGTCTTGATTTTGACATAACAAATTTCACTCGAACCTTTTTTTTTTCACTAAAATTTTAAGAATTACCTAATAAGTTTGGTATATATATACAATGTACAATAATTGAATGTAAAAACAATTATTTTATACATATAAACTTACTTGTTTAAAGTGTATCTTTCATAACTATTACCATATTCATTTTGTTCTATAACCTTCTTTAGAGTTAATGGTTCAGATTTCCCATCTCTAAATTGAAGCAAGTGTATCACTCTAAATGGCACATCACTACATTATAAATTAATTCCATGACATTAGTTTGAATGCATATCACTGAAATGATTATTATCATATTTATATATGTGCATGATGATTTAATGAAATGTATATTTGTTATTTAAATCTCAATGAATACTCAAATGAACAAATATACATATATGATCATAATTATATCTATAAATGAACATTATGAGTATCAAATATGATCATATACAATGATGTTTCAATGAAATGTACTTTTGTTTTTAAATCTCAATAAATACTCATATGAACAAATATAAATATATGATCATAACTATATCTATAAATGAACATTATGAGTATCAAATATGATCATATACAAATAACATATTAAACAAAGATAAAACCAATTTTATCAAATACAACTAGCATATTAGACATGAACATAATATATTCTGTAAATGACTAATTACCTTGGTAGTGGAGACATTGTTAAATCCGTACCAATTGACTTGTCAATATCTTTTAAAAGTTCCGGATCTACAATTGGATCATTTTGGCGGTTTTTTTTTCAATTTGTCTACTCTTGACTGAAGAGGTACATCATCATCATCGTCTCTGTTTTATTTAATAAATTGTTAATGTTTTAGTTATTTTCAGTAAAATCTTAGAACAATTACTACAATCGCAAAAATTTTTAACAAAAATTAGGTTTTACAAATAAATTCGCTCTATAATTTTCATCGCAAGAATATGAACAAATTAGGTTTTACAAAAGTTAGAGTTCATACATTTCTTCAGAAATTTTCAACAAATTACTCGTCTCTGAAGTATTCTTCTCCAAAATCATACTACAATTGCAAAAAATTGAACAAAAATTAGGTTTCACACATAAAATCGCACTATAATTGTCATCGAAAAAAAATGAACAAAATTACTTACTCTTTAGATACATTTTGCTCCGATTTTGCAGTTTCTTCTTTCATGTTCTTCTCTGTAGTGGTTTTTTGCAAAATCGCACTACAATCGCAACAAAATGAACAAAATTAAGGTTTCACACATAAAATTGCACTACAATCTCAAAAAATGAACAAAACTAACGAAATTACTTACTCTTTTTTTTGTGATTGTTTAATTTCATCTCGAATATCAGACATTTGAAGCAATTATGAAGTGTTTTGAAGCAATTTTGCAATAATTTGAAGAGAATTTCGTTCCGATTCGACGGTGTTGATGAGAGAGAAATTCTAGAGAAATGAAGAAGATGGTTTTTAGAGAGAGAATAATTTGAAATGGATAGTTTTTTTTTTTTTTTAATAATATATATGTGGGGTAGGGGAAGTTATTTCTAATTTACTGTGGTTAGTGGGAGTGAGTGGGGGTAGTTACTGTAGTTTGTGGGGGTAGGGGAAAAACGCAAACGCTGCGTTTTGTAGGGGGTGTAGGTTATGGTACCTACACTAGGGTGTAGTGTATACTAATTATAATTCTTATATTTTGTGGCGTAGCAAGTGGGTTTGCATGATCCAACTCTATTTATGATTTATCTCTAGACATATGTAGAAAATCATAATAATTATATAGCTCCTATGCCTAAATTCTTGATTACATATGCATTTTCTGTAATAATCATTGCTATTATACATTTATTTTTTAATAATACACAATTGTTGAGCATGAATGCAATATGTATATCAAGTAAATTCCATCATCCAACCAAAAATACATGAAATGATATATGACTACCAGGAGGCTAGAACAGTTAACTAACTCTCTAACTTACAAACGTGAGGTGAGAAGTCAAATCATATCATGCTCCTTCTCTAAATTTACCCGTGTAAGATGGACTTTCTCCTTACAATTACTCGCTCGACTCAAAACCAAGGTCACATCTTTATGATCCGAATCAAGTTATGATTCTACGACCCATTTACAACCTCGTCCCTACACGGCTACACATTCAATATTAACTTATTGAGTATGATTTTTCAAAGCAAGAAATCATCATCCCTCTCAAGTAGCACGTGCCACACAACATACCAAACCCAAAGACTATCCAATCTCTCACGTGTAACCCCCCAAAACCACATCCAAAATCCCTAAAAAAATCCACAATACCTCCCCAAAATTCCACCACCCAAACTCTCACTCACTCCCCTTTCACCCTCACTCAATCAATCCCAGAAAACACAACCATCTTCATCTCCTTCTTCTTCTCCCTCATCCACAAAACACACAATAATGCCAATCATTTTTCTCTCTCCTCTAACCCAAATCTACAAAACCCAATAACCCACCTCACATTTTCTCTCTCCTCCTCCTTCAATGGCGCTCCCTCAATTCCTCCATTACTCCACCTCCCTTAAACCCTCTTTAAACCCTTCACCTCCAACCCCCATTTCCCTCCCCTCAACCCCGCTCTGTCTCAGCTATCAACGCCGTAAGCTCCAGCGCGATATTCTCCGCTGTTCCGCCTCTTCCTCATCCTCCCAACCACAGAACAACCCGCCATCCCCAAACCCAACCCCACAAAACGACGTCGTTGAGCTCCCAATCTTCCCCCTCCCACTCGTCCTCTTCCCGGGGTCAATCCTCCCACTACAAATCTTCGAGTTCCGATACCGAATCATGATGAACACCCTCCTCCAAACCGACCTCCGATTCGGGGTTATCTTCTCCGACACGCTATCCTCCTCCTCCTCCTCCGCCACCTCCGTCGGTTGCGTCGGCGAAGTCGTCAAACACGAGCGTCTCGCCGACGATCGCTTCTTCCTAATCTGTAAAGGACAAGAGCGATTTCGAATCAACAAGATAGTACGCTCCAAACCCTACCTCGTGGCAGCCGTTGATTGGCTCGAGGATAAGCCCTCCTCCGATGGGTCCCACGAAGATTTGGAGAGCCTTGCCAAGGATGTGGAGAGTTACATGAGGGATGTGATTCGCTTGAGCAATCGATTGAATGGGAAAGAAGAGAAGGAAATTGGGGATTTGAGGAGGAACTTGTTTCCGACACCGTTTTCGTTCTTCGTTGGGAGTACGTTTGAAGGGGCTCCCCGTGAGCAGCAGGCGTTGCTTGAGCTGGAGGATACCGCGGCGAGGTTGAGGAGGGAGAAGGAGACTTTGAGGAATACTTTGAACTATTTGAGTGCTGCTTCTGCTGTTAAGGATGTGTTTCCATCTTCTTGATTATATGGGAGAATGAGAATGAGAGAAGGTTTGTGAATAGATAGGTAACTTTTTATATTTTTTTTTGGTTGGAATGAATGAATGTATTGGTATAAAGGTTGTAAATGATTGTTATTTGTGCGTAATGGGAATATATTTTTATGAAGTAGTTAGTTGTTGTGTTGTTTTGTGTTCTTGAATCAGTGACAATGAGGTTGCTTTTTGTGTGATACAACATGTTTAGTCACCCGGAATCACGGAATAAGTCAATTGTGCTAAGTCTGTTGTAGACAATATATCCGTTATATACAAGACCTACCGGACTGATTACATCATTTGTGGGAGAATGCTTGTGAATCTATTATGTGTGAGGGTTGTTTGACTCCATTGTGGAAATAGCTAGCTAGCAATGTCTTGGAATTGAATTGTGGATTTGGTTCATTAGTTATATAGGCTAGCATTCGGAACCTAGAGCAGGAAAGGGAAGGGAATGGAAATGAAGGAGAGTACTTTTGTCTGGTTTGTTCTGCTGGAATTGATGGAATTCCTTTACTTGGCTAGCTAATTGTGGAGAAATTGTAAGGAAATCGGCAAATTAATGTTATATTTACCTTCTCTTAGTTTAAATTCTGCTTATTTGGGAGATAAAGAGAGTATTGTAAGTAGTCTTTCCTGCCACATTTGATCCTTATTAATGTCAAGATAGATAACCTTCCAGAAGGTAGCAAGTAAAATTGTCATACCAAATCATTTACATTTCATTGTTTTATCATGGATAGTTTGCTGTTGTTTCTGCAACCTCTCTTAATAGAGGTTCAATTAGGCAAATGGACATTCTCAAAATTGTTCTAGTGACAGGAAGTTGTCTATGACCCAGACCTCGAGGGTTGGGGGAGTTTGGTGGGATTGTGTGTGCATGTGAATAGGTCATGGTAGTGTAGGCGGTGTAGCATTGGCAACATTTATAGCAGGCTATAAACTCCGCTGCAGGTTGTTTACAAGCTTGGGGCTGCATTGCTTTGTGGTGTACTGCAGAAGGAATTATTCCTATCTGCTATCTTCTGCTGATATCAATTTTTAAGTATCATAAGGGAAGGTTTAGATGGTATTTATTAGTTACCTTCTGCTCATTAACTTGTACTTTTTGTATCCTTGCTGTTTCGGTAATTGTTTTTTAGAAGTCATTTGCAACAATCTATGTGACCGAAGCAATTGTGAAAATTGTGTATGCCTATGGGCTATGGCTAATTTTCAAGAATCCTAATGGAGAGATTTGAGGATGGTTACCTTCTGTATTTTTTAGACTGTTGTGTAACTTGGATGCTGTGTTCTCTGTAAAGGTTGCCCATCCTTTCTTTTTTTTTTTTTTTTTTTCCTCTGAGTCTGGTGTCCTCTCTGTCATTTCCACCTTCTAGCAATGAACATGCTTTGAGTGGCATAGTTACCTCAATTTCGACGAAAGTATCAAGCAGGTTATGGTTAGATTATATTACTGCTGCATTGCTATAACTTGACAATTAGAAACAGCTTGGTTTCCTGCGCATAATCTGATTTACCTAGAAGCCATGGCAGTTCTTCCTATTGTCTGATTTACCTAGAAGCGACGGCAGTTCCTCCTATTGCGGCATGGGCATGCTGCATGTACGCCTCTGCCTTATCATTGTATATACAAATCAAGAATTGAATGGTCTCACTGAGTCACGGTTTTCTACTTCAGAATCAGTTTACAAGAACTACCACATCTGTGTTTGAACTTTGTAACTGCTTAGGTGCTTTAAGATGTATATAGAGATAAGTGACTAAGCGACTATTTATCGGTTTTGTGGAGATCTGAGATTTGTTGAAGAACATTTTCACTGTTTTGCTATGAATTGAAGTTTCTTATTTCATAAATCAGTGTATGAGCACTGACGTGACGGGGCTATTTGATAATTTGATATGCATTCAGGCACAGAATTGTTCAAAGACCTTGCTTGATACTGGTTCTTGTTCGCAGGATTTGTGGTCTTTGCTGCTGTGCAATTACTTATGTTAGAGGTTACTGAGAGTCTGAGATGGCCATATGCTATAAAAATCAGACACTCTATATTTAGGTCACATTGTCTAAACTCTAAAGTCTTGACTCTTCATCACTCAAGTAACACATGATTTTACGTCTAAGGATGCTTAATGATAGTTGTGGTCTATTATGTCATCGCTAGATAACTAAATTTTGTCGTGTCAAAGAATTGAATCATAAACTCAATTACTCCAGGAAATGCGGCAAACGCCAAACAGCTTCATTAACACAAATTTGATGAAGCATGCATTGGCCTTGGTCATGGCCTTAGGAGAACCCAAATCTAAAAACTTTTGAAGACAAATACTGATCCAAGTTTCGGCGCCATTTTGTTTTAAGACGTGTTGATATAAACCTATCATATTTTTGCGGATCGATTACTCAATATTTTCTTAACGCAAGAACTACGATAATATTAATTAATCAAAGTCGAAGCTTGACAAAAATCGACTAACCCTCGTTATGTTACAGATTTTTAGCTGCTTTCCTCATCATTCAGGAGTCCAATTTTATTAATAGAAAACACAATGTCACCAAGAATATTTGAGCCCTGAACCTGTTTACAACCATAGCAAGGCAAATACCAGTATATTACATGAACTCATGAGAATCTAACTGTCGGACCATAATAACACTGCTGTAAGAGTAGAAAAGCTTCTTCAGCAGAAAACTATGATATTAACAAGGCATATATAGCAAAATCATCACCCTCTACTCTCCTTCAGCATAAACGATATCAAACTGTATCTATTTTCCACCATGTACAACAGTACAAAGATGCGCAATGTCGAATATACTGCATGAATTCCTCTATATAGCATGGGGAGTTTCATCTACCTTCCCCCCCTATTGTCGAAATGTGATAAAGAATACGTACAAGCATCCAAGGATAGTTTCAAACACCAAGTTCCTGAATACAAGGGGCCTTCAAACTGCCAGATTCTTCACAAGCTGCTCTGTCTGCTGTTAAATGGTTTGGCTAAAGTAATATTTCCTGTTCGCTGCAAGATCAACAATTTTGAGTTTGTGTTAGTATTACCAATGTAAACACTTCATCAACTACATCACAGAATCATAAAATTCAAATTCCAACCAATTGCAAAAGAAATTGTAATAAAGTCAAATTATTATTACCAATGTTAATAAGTCATAGCACACAACCAAGTAAGCATGATAAAATCACAAAACTCAAAAGGAAAGCCTATTGCAAGAGATAACACAGCATGATATTCAAACAGGTGTTAGAAAACATTCTTAGATATGAAAAACTAAACCCACCAGGAAAACAGTTGTATCAAACGGTAAATAACTTATTGAGAGATCGGTGCTTTTTTTTTTTTACCTTTTAGGGATGATCTTTAATGTCTTGGTGTTTGAGAGTTAAAGTGAGACCCTCTTAGTTACTCTTAACACAATTTATTTGAACTTCTTGTCTAACAAAAAAAAAAAGAGACATCGTGTCTCAAACACAATTTTACACACAGCAGTCAGAAATTTAAGTGTATGCACAATGGATGATCTTTTCTTTCCTGCTATTTTAATTACCCCCAAGCTGTCAATTAAAAATTTGCTAAACAGAATGAACTAGGTACTAACCTTGAGACAAAGGTTTCTTTGTGTATCACATACTGGATAGTCACGAGGACAACAGTGGATATGATCTTTGCAGCATACTGCAGAATTTAACTCGCAGCATTTCCAAGTTGTGCATATACCAAGAAAGCTCCGTGCACAACAGCAAGTCTGACCTGCTGGACAAGATGTGAACAAACTACATCTAGTAGGTCCGGGAGGTGGTGGTGGTGGTGGATTAGGGGTTGTTTTTGTGGGATATGATGGCATCACATTGATGCCACAAATTCCACTTTTATCTCCACTGTTCCGCTGCATGTGTACAAAGCCATTCATACCCCAAGAAGTTCCCCATGAATTTTTAACTATCCAGTAATCAACTCCATTCTCTGAACCATAACCAACAATCAGAACAGCATGATCTACAGAGGTGGAACATGGGCCCGAAAAGATTCCCTGAAAGAAAAATAAATAAACAAGTAAAATCTTCATGTCAAAACACAAATACTCTTTGTATCAGAAAAGCCAAGAGGTCCAAGAGCGAAGGAATAAACCTTAGAGTATAACTGGAATGCTCTCTCACTGCCACATATGCCAACACTTACTGGTTGAACGGCTACAGCCTTTTGGAGTTCTTTCTCATTATTAGGAGGGACATCAGCATAACCATCAATAGTTACCACATGTCTCGCAAGCTGTAATATAAAAAAAAACAAAGATTTCTTTGAGTTCTATTGCTCAAAAAGTCAGCAACTACGAGAATATTAGACAAGCTAAAACAGGAAGCATTAGATCCATTAAAGGGTTTGTTTGCTTTCTCTCTTCTTTTCCACAGTGTTTTTGAATTATGAATGCTACTTCAATTATACTATTTATACCCTTTAGTAAGAGCTGAGGAGAAAATTTATATCGTCAAACTTGTACGTGTCCCAAGTGTTGAACTTCTTTATTTTGCAAAACACTTCTTTCTTTGCAGTCCAAAATGAAGAGTCTTGTGTCCATACAGCCACACTCATGTCTGAGTGTTGAAGATCCATATTGGACTTTCAAGTGCATAAGGCAAAATGAAGTGTACAAGATTGGCAAAATGAAGTGATGACATGAATTCAAGAAGCAAAGTTCTTGAGTATAGATTATAGAATGATGATTACACCCTGTCACCTATGCAAGCCAGGTTAGAAGAATTAAACTCTTGCTGCAATATTTGTTTTTGCATCATGCGGTTATGCCATTAAGAAAAATATCTCTGATAGTTTAATAGACGGCATATAGTTGTTTTCCCAAACTGTCAAGTGGGCATACAAGTGGAAAATATAGCGGGACACGGAACTGGATCAGGATGAATTTTTCATAATAGCTGTCATTGCATCAATTATAGAGCGCATGAAATTAGTCCTCATTGTGCAGAATGCTCACCAGGCTAATATGTCATTAAACTAAATAAGACACCCACAGATGAGAAAGGATTTTACTCTCTTAGCTCCATCCACTTTAATTAAGAGAGCAGCACAATCCTACATTGGTTAAAACTTTCAATTTCCACCATCAAATATTGAGGTGGAGCTAAGAATCAGTTGTATTTAGAGCTTAGACAAGAAAGTTCCGTCTCTTCCCATAAGACTGTACTAACAATGCAAGTGACTCAATGAAAACAGCTGTTTTCTGCATTGTTATGTGTACGAGCTAACCTAAATCAGCCATGATATTATGTTTATAACGATGGAAGACTTCTAAGATTTTCAAATGATCAGGAAAAAAAAATCACCTAAGCTCTCCAATACTAAATGTTAGTAGAATTTTTGCTCCATACTTGAGGTGTGGTTAGTAAGATAGCGTAAACATAAATATAATCAAAAGATAAACCCATAGGAAAGTGTCTTACCTTGTTCCTATTGCAAGATTTTTGTTTAGCCTGGTATGGGTAGTCTTTCTCAGTGTCAATACCATGATTATCTATAACAAACTGGTAAGCATAGTCCATGAGCCCTCCATCACAGCCTTCATTGTAACTTCTATCACAGTCAATTAACTCCTGCTCAGAAAGGCTGACAAGAGAGCCTGTGACAATTTTGTTTACACCTTCAATTGCCCCTGTGGCGGAGAAAGCCCAGCAAGCACCTGAAAAACAAACCAGTACTCATTAAAAGAAAATAAGGGTTTGTTTCATAAGCATACTTCACTACTTCCTCCAAGAACTTAGAAATAATAATCTAATTAAATAAAATAAAATAAAAAATAGAGTCTGAGTTGTTTCAAAATATTAGCAATCAACAACATCAGTATTATATAAACAAAAAACGTAATCAGTATTGTCTCAATGCTTCTAAGAAGGCTTTCAGCTTATCAGATATCTGCAACCTTACCCTTACACTTACAGTTAAAAGAAGGTCTTTTACAGTAGGCTGTTGATCTGAAAGTAATGGCAGTAGGGGTAGGCTTCTTCACAATTATATATATGTACATCCAGTTCAATTAGCCATTTTAATTGGGGGTTGTTAAACAGCACCCTCAATTCTCCAGTTAACGCCCGCAAAATAAAGTTATTTTACGAACATACCCTTAATTGACCAATCTCTCTATAAACTACTATCACCACCGTGGCACCGTCCACCACCACCTCCTCCTCCCATTTACATACAAATCACCGTCACCATTGTCACAGTTTAAAATGCGGGCGTTACCCAGTAAAATAAGGGCGTCGTTTAATGTTTCATTTGGTACATTATGATCCAACAAATATTAAATATTTCAGCTCCATTGAAAGTGGAAAGTAATAGGCCATCCGCCATTGTCACAGTTTATTTGATTTGACACCTACTATTAGTAGTCTTAAAATTGCAAGGAGGATAACCATGAATAACCCAAGTCATATCTCTTTTCAATTCAAAACAAGATTGGATGTCATTGTCCAAAGCATTATTGGTTCATTTTTCTGTTACATTATAATTCAGAAAGATGAAATCCTAAACAAAAGGGGTGAGTTAGCTGAATACCAATTATCTCCCATTTATCAGTCAAATCAACCCAAAATTCTCAATCAATAACCAACAAGGCAACAGCCATAAAAACTTTCTTTAAAATGCTAATTTCCAATGTTCAGTCAACATAACCCACAATTTCTTAAAATAAAAAGAACCACAATAACATAAACACAGAACAACCCAATAAACTAGAGGGGAAAAAATCACAATTTCAGAAAAACCCCTTAATTATAGCCTAAAAATTCAATTTAATTCACAAAAATACTAAAAGCCCCCAAAAAATTAATAAAAAAATAAAGAAAACACACCACAATTTCCTTGATCCTTGACATTAGTAACAGCACCTTGATTCCTCCAATCAACAGAATCAGGAATACCCAAATCAGGCAACTGAACAGGATTTTCACTATGCTTCAACCTGATGAAATCATTAGCAGAACTAGAAAGCCCAAGCTTAGAACTTCTAAATTCATGGTGGGTTAAATCAGCATAAGCATTCAGAGCAAGGGTATAAGTGGAATTTCCCAAGCTGTTATGGTGGTTGACAAATTCCAAATTATCTTCAAAAATTTTGAGCCTGTATTGTCTTTCTTGCTCAGATGGGTATGTTTTGCCATGTTTTTTGCACCACGAATCAAAAAGTTCGGAGCTTGATTCAGAAAGATGGTGTGAAAAATGGAGGGTGAATAATAATAACAATAGTAGAGAAAGTTTGCTCATTTTTTGGATTGGGAAATGGTCAAATGATTGAAGGAGTGAGAATGAATAAGCAAATGAGTAAATGACCCATATATATTAGGGTGAATTTAGATTGGTGTGAAAAACAAGTTGATTGGTACGTTTAGTTCTTCGGTGTTACAATTACAGCCAGAAGGTTGGAGTAGTTGCGAAATTGCCAATTATATGCATGAACCTCGTGGTTCTATCTTGTATTAATGTCCTTTTCTCTTCTCTGTCAATTTGTCATCACTACATGGATTTGTTGGGCACAAAGAAGTTGTAAGGGAATTACCTTATTTCCTGGACTCTTTTAAAAATGACTCTAACAGTACACGTTAGTATTTATAATATCAGCAACAAATTATATCAATACCAACAAAATATTTTTAGTAAGTTTAAATCACTAAATAAGGTGGTTGCTATCATGATGATACTATCTAAAGTATAATGAAATACCAACATGTGTTATGACATTAATTTTTTCAAGTGCGGTAAAAGTGAATGGACGGTTATGCCCTTCTAAAATGACTCTAGCAATTAGAATCCAAGAATTCCTCAATGTTAATAGCGTGAAATCATGTTGTCGATTGTTATTTGATTTTTTTCAATTTTGTTGTTCTTCTTGTTTGACATTTTAAAACCTATAACTAATAATAAAGTAATAACTAATTTTACCGCTGATATTACCACTCATGTGTTAGCTTATTAAAAAAATTCCATCCAAAATATAAAAGACATTTTTTTTTTTTTATAAAGCTAATGTTTGAAAAAGGTAGATTAATTATACATTTTTTTAGGGTAGATTAATTATACATTTTTCTAAAAGCTTTTATGACTAAATTTACTAATCACAAATTTATTATAAAAAAATACAAGTAATAAAATTAATGGTTGGTCTCTTTCATTTTCCTTCTAGACGATATTGAATTTTTTTTCCAATATTTTATTAATAATGTATGAGTTTGAATTTTCTACTATATATTAATTCTTCAAATTTTTTAAAATGGAACAAAACAACTAAGCTGATATAATGTTAACATTTCATATATTTTATTTTAACTATGAAATTAATAAGAATATTTAACATCATTTTTGTTAGCTCAATTTATCTAACAAGAGAGATCAATATTTATTATGTTTATCTAAATTATTTATATTAAGCACATAAGAGCAAAATTTTAAACTATGCATCGCACTGGACTAGCCTAGTGGGAGGAATTAAAGTAGAGGGAGCCTAGGTTAATGACAGAGATAAACCCAAGTTCTTTATTTACATGATTATTGTATTGTAAGTGCATTGGTTTTCGCGCTGACCTATTAAAAATATATTTTGTTGTTCATTTGCCATGTGGCAGTGACATACGGAGAAGGCGAATGTTTGCTACTGTTTGCAAAATTCACCATCTTCCTCCTCTCACCCTCTTCTTCTTCCTATTCATCTTCTCCCTTGTTCATCTACTTCTTCCCACCTTTGACTCCGCCAACACAATCATTTTCGGCGACTTAAACGAAAAAATAATAACAAAGGGATAAATAAAGGGCATGGGTAACCCTAAAGGGTAGGTAAACTTTCCTTTCCGCATTGATTTCACTTGTTTGATTGTGAAGATTGAAAAGTCATTATTTCTGCCATTGAAATTAAGGTTGAAGTACGAAAGAGAAAACTAAGGGGGGGGAGAATGAGAAATGACTTTAAGTCAAAGTTAAATGCTAATTGCATAAGCACTTAGTGATGAAAAAGAATTGTATCTCTGTCATAAACTTGTATTTACCCATTAAAGTAATAAAGATTTAACATTACTTTCAAAAATATGAAAAGGAAGAAAAGACAAGGTTGTTTCCGTGGTGTTTGGGGAGAGAGAATGATGACCAAAGATCAAAATCATGTATGGAAGCGTCAAATAAATATTGGAAAATTGTATTAAAATTGTTATAAAAGGAAAAAAAGTATTAGTAAATGGAAGACTTTTTAAACCTTCATGATTGGTAAAGGAAAATAACAAAGAGGATTAGAGAGCATTAAGGTATATTTAGAGAGCATTAAGGAAAATAACAAAGAGGATTAGAGAGCATTAAGGTATATTGAACGTTGAATGTTGTCCATCTTAGTATTAGTAAAGAAGTCCCTCCTTTTTGCAGGGATCGATTCTCATCATTCACCTCAGTGGCTCTCTAAACAAAGCTTTAAGTTCTAATTTTTATATTTGCTGGTACTATAAAGAAGTAATTTGTACCTAATATATTGATTACTAGTTACGCGTAATTGTCTTATGCCATGCTCTACCAAAATTTGTAAATGAAGCTCATGCATAAGTATAACACATAACCTATTGGTGTGTGTTACTGCGATGTGCCTACCTCTCATGTCATGCCGAGCTTGCAAAGTTGCAATAGGCTCGTGACTTCGTGAGTCGTGCCAAATTGAACTATTTTTGTATCATGCCTAATCTGCCCTAGTTAGAAATTGGAGTGTAAGTAGGCCAGTAGGGTATTAGGGTGATCATCACTTATATAGTTATATGCCTTATAAAACCAAAAAGTCTTCCAATAAATTGTTATTTCTGTATTTAAAATCCATTTATACTTAATTCAAAATTATTGGGTTATCTTCTTCTCGTTCTATCTCTCTATCTTCTCAATTCCTATCACACGGGCACCTGTAAATTCTTCTCAACGGAGAGATGAAGTTGGATCCGCGGCATTACGAAAACATCGTAAGTTGTATTTTCTTTAAAATTTTCAACCTTTTTAGGGTTTTTTTTTTTTTTTTTTGGTAATTTTTTCAAAAATTAAAAATTCCCTTCATTGTTTTTTTACTAATTTCATCGAGTAATTACTTCAATTTTCAACTTTTCTGCTTATGTTCTACCCTGTGATTGTAATTTTTGTAAAAGGGGATTTTTTTCGCAGAATAAGCGAAAATTCAAAACCCTAATTTTTTTTTGTTAATTGTTACTATGTGGTGGGATTTTGTGATTAGAATTATTTTTGGAAATTGATTTGAACAATGTAGGTGGGTAGTATTTCATTTTGGGTGGTTTAACTGTGTTTGGTTGGAAGTGTAGTGCTTGGTGCAATGTTATTTGATCAGGTTGATATTGGGGAGAAATTTAATATTTGGGTTGGTGTCTAATCTAATAGTTTCCGAAAAGGCTGCTTCTTGTTAATATTTGATGCAATTGGTATTTGTTGCAAGTTGGTTTGTATTAGGGCATGTGCTTTAACCGGGTTACATTGTGCTAATTGTAGATGGCGGTTTTTCAGCATCAAAAGTCTACTGAATTGAATGTGTTGGTTATGTATTTAGAACATGCTTTGAGTACCCTAGTGATTCGGAGGAAGCAATGTTACTTTAGTTTGATAAACGAGCTTAGGTCTTCTTTTTTTATTTTTTTTTTGATGTTATTTGTTACGGAGTATTGCATAATGAGCAATGAGTGTAGCCAACATGTATGGCTGCATTATTTTGATTGACCCTCTTTCTGTCGCTTAATAACATGCCACATTAGACTGCAGTGATATTTTGTTATGAATTGAGTTAATGCAACATTATTTATTCACTATTCTAAGTTTTACCTTTCTATTGTAGTATTGTACTCCATACCAAATTAGTCTCAAGTAACCTAGCCTTATTTGCATATCTAAAACATACAAACTCTGAATGTATCAATTTGATCTGGATAACCGTGTCCAATGCTATTAACCGTGTCCAGTTTCATGAATGATATTGATGTAGCCTAGTTTTTAAGCTTCCAGATTTCCATTATTGTTTTTGCTTGTTGGTTTGTACTTATAGAATATTTAAATGGGTTTGATGAGTGTATATGTGACCTGGTTTAATTGATGAGCTTTTATTACCAATTTTCATCCGGTAAAGAATTGAGAAGGATTGTTTGGATCTGCCACCTAGTTAACTGTTCTTAAGCTGTCTAGAGCTTATAATGTACTAATTTAGGATGTGATTGAGAAGTATTGAGGACATTATGTCTTATTGGCTTCAAAATCAGTGTAGAATATACTTTCTGTGGGGTTCTATTTGAAATTTGGAAATTAGATGAACAATTATGTCCTCTTTTTAAATATGTTGCTTATGTGTCATATACTCATATACTATTTTGCGATAAATTTTATATTAAAACTAGTGGATTGGGATTGGTTGTTGAATTACTACAAACACGTGTTTAAACTTTTGTATTACTATGGGTGGAACGAGGATTCCAATCATTCAGAATAAGGTATCTGACGACTTAATATTATTAGCAATTCAGTTATAGAATATTTGTCATTACGTTTTATATGTGTTGATGGATGGTTTTCGTTCTAACGGGGATTTTCAGTTGCAAATTATTTAAATTCCATGTGATCAAAGGATCATTGAGCTCCTTGTATATTGATTACAGTTTTATATTGTCAGTGCTTTTAGTTATTTCATCTTTTTTTTTTTTTTTTTTTTTTTTCCATTCCCGACAGGCTGTAAGTGACGGTGACACCCACAACATCGTGCTCTCATATCTTGTACATAATTGTTTTAAAGAGACCGCGGAGTCCTTTGTTGAATGTACTGGTATAAAGCAGCCGACTGATTGTCTTGAAGATATAGATAGAAGAAAAAGTAAACCCTTTCTCTAAACCTCCAATTACCTCCTTACAAGTGAATTTTTCTATGATTTGTATGTGTGTGACATATCTTGATTCAAGCTATAATCCTATATTTTAGAAAATGGTGAAGGTATCATTAGACCTTAGGTATCAAAACCCTATTGTTTGAATTGCTAGGCCCTAGAAAGGGCATATGCAGAAGTGATATAAGGTATTAGTATATTCACTTTTAATGTCTGATTAAGGGTTTGTTATGTTCACTTTAGTTCAGTTTAGGTTTAATAAGTTCTGATAAGGGTTACCCAAGTATAAATTACACTTAAAATAAGTTTTAATATGGTCTAATAAGTTTAAATAAGTTCAGATCAGTGAAAATCAGGTGAATAGAACACATCATAAATGGATTATTTTTTGCAATACCAATCATAATTATGATACTTGTAGACAAGGAAAGTTTAAGATATGTCTTTTCCAGTATAGTAATTATTGAAAGGAAAAGTATAGATGAAGGTAGGTACTCTACAAACTCTTGAAGTATGTGGTACCACTGAAAAAGAAGCATGGAGCACTTGAATATATAGTTTCCCTCTGTGAGCATGGATTATGACTTTCATGGAAACTCCAAGATCGAGAAGGGGGAAAACCCAGACTCTCAAATGTCTTAATACCTTATAAACATTTAGTTCAAAGCAATTGTGCCATCCCAGCCTACGAACTAGGCAAAGTGTATTTATATCTTGTGAGATTGCTAAAGTCAGACTTTTCTGGAACATTACATTTGTGTCAATCTTATGCAAAGCCATGTCCAGATGAAACCTTCACCTAAAAAAGAATCCACATGAAGTTGGCTACTAGTTTATATGAGAGAAAAACTAGTTTATATATTTATGGAGCAATTATCCTTTGTTATGCAGCCTGCTAGTCTAGAAGTTGGCAACATCTAGATGTGCTGTTTGTTCTATTCAATTTCTTCATGCGTTATTCTTGCTCTGGCTTTACTCCAAGTATGTGTTTTGACTTCCCATTTTTGTTAGGAATCATCAAGTTTATCTTAGAAGACAACACCCTCAAAGCTATTGAACTCACAAAAGAAGTAACACCAGATTTACTAGAGGAAAATAAGGATTTGCACTTTGATCTTTTGAGCCTTCACTTTGTCAAGCTTGTGTGCTCAGGACAATGGTAAATATAACTCTTAATGCTTCTCGTACTTCACAAGGAATGCCTCTTATTAATAGATTATTCCCTCGACAGCGTCGAAGCTCTTCGATTTGCTCAGGAGAATCTGAGTCCTTATGGCAGCGAGCAAAAGTATGTTGTGAAGCTTGAGGTATCATTTCAACCATGTCTGCACTGCTTCCTAGTATACGTGTATGATGTTATCTCTGAAAATAAGTTGCATTTGCTGCAGGAGTTTTTGGCTTTGCTTGCTTACGATGAACCAGAAAAATCACCATCGTTTCATCTTATCAGCCTTGACTATAGACAAGATATTGCAGATAAGATAAATCGCGCAATTTTAGGTACATGTATGTATATAACATGTTTTCTGGCTCATATACTTTAATGTATATCTTTTTAAAGTTTAATGTTGTGAACTTTGTATTTGAAAAGTAAAATGTCTAGCTTGTCTAATAATTTCTCTGGAATTCATTGGTGTAGCACATACCAAGCAACCAAGCTATTCGTCCTTGGAAAGGCTGATCCAGCAGATGACTGTTGTTAAACAACACTTGAGCCAGGAACCTAACAAGGTAATCTTGTATGAATACTCTTTATCTGAATGCATCAAGGCTTCTTTCACCAATATCTTCTGATATACACTTAAAGTAGTATAGTAGTTGAGAGAGATCATTCTCCTATTATGATCTAACACTTGAGTAAAGAACTTAGTAAGGTGATCTTAATATGAATGCATAGAGGCTTCTGTTTCTCATCCATCTTTTTTGATAGCTGTATGATATAGGATAGTAGTTGTGAGAAATCATTCTCCTTGTATGTAGTACCAAAGTTTTTACATTGGATTGGTGCTTTTGAAACTTCATTTGCACCTGAGTGAGGAAGCTTATACTTTTATGGGGCCTAGTTTGATTGGCGGGCTGGTTATTGATAGACTATTTGTTTGGCTGTCCTCACGTGCTGTACTTTGTATCAAAGGCACAAAAAATCTGCTTAAAATGAGATCTGTATTCTAGAAGTTAGACTTATCGGCACACTGGTGTGTAAGTTGCCTGGTTTCCCTTCTATCAGTTCTATGAGACCTTATGTTTTGAGTTTTCTTAGTGTTTGGTCGTGTGACAACTGACAAAATTAGGTTGCGAAACCCCATACTATTTCGGAGTCTGTCCTAATTCATACTCTAGCACCCGTGCAATTTTATTTTATTTTATTTTTTCCCCCCTTCATAAAGGAATTTTCTACAACTCTGTTATTGATTTATTCCTGACAAATGCTTTGTGGAACGGTTGATCGTTAGACTCAAATGAGTCAAATCTGAATGAATTCTATGCTTTACTTGTGGTGTTTTCAGGATGGTCCTCCATTTTCTTTGAAGGATTTCATTGATTGCTGAAAACAAGATATAATTATTCTAAATCAGGCAAGGCCACAAAGAGCCATCAAGGTGCATGCACATCCAGATCAGAGGCAATGCATATGTTAATTGGTTTTTTCAAAGATATGCACAATAAATCAAGTTTGTTCATAGGAGATGCCCTTTGAATTTTGGTCTTCCTGGCATTCACTTTCCGGTGGCTGAATATAAAACCGTCATTCCATTGTACAGACTGTAAATTCTTCAGTAGACTTGGTAGTTGAGTGTAGCTCATTAAATCTCACTTACAGTATTGATTCAAAAGAGCGTGATTGTTGGGTTTTCAATTTTTTTAGACTAATGTTTATTGGATACACCGTTACATCAGAATTCTCTAGTTTGACGGAAGGATTCTAACAACACTACAACAGCATAATTTCACTTGTTAAGGGATACGGAAGTTATCATCCTACAACGTTGATGATTGATGATGGGCTTGATCATTTTAGGGCACTATTATTATGATTGTGTAATTAGACTGATTAGCTACTTGTCATCAATTTATAGGGATCTTTGATTATTTAACTTACAGTTACAAATATAATCAAAGTTCATATTAATTTGGATATAAAAGTGCAAATGGGACCTCAAAAAATTCAAACAAATTTTATTATTTCATTTGAAGTAGTAATAGTCTAAGGCCTCTGAGCCATCAATTTACTTTTGAACCTACCCAAATACGGAGTTAGTGCTACTCTCCTAACTCACAAGTTGTCCTTGCTACAATTATCTCAAAACTTTCCTAAACATGGGGTTAATTATGAATAATTTAAAGGTGAGATCAATTTATTAAAGGAAATTTTATCACTTAACTAACTTTTGTGTAAGTGGCTTTACCCTAGCTACCCACAAAACAACTCTCTCCTTAACACGTTATCTCCTCTCTAACTCGATCCTCCTCTTTTCACATCCAAATCCCCATCATAAAGTTAAATCGCCGTCAAAAACTCCATAAAAACTAAGTCTTCGTCTAGAACCCCAACTGTACAAAATCAACTAGCTGTGAATTATGATGATAGAAACCTAGAAGGTGAGTCCAATCTCACACAATACCTGTCGGAACTTTTTTACTCCAATTAGTGCTGGCAATGTAAATTACGTATAAGTATGTACTCTCGTATTAATGCAAATTGCAAAACAACTCGTTTTCTTGTTTAGGCTGGTGTCAAAACGACACTGTTTTGTACTTGTAGATATTAAGCTTCAATTTTTTATTATACTATTTTTTTTTTATCCTTTCATTGCTTTAATCATTCATTTCACTCTCTCTCCTCTCTTTCTCTCTCTTCAACTGTGCTCGTTAAGTTACAGTTAAACTCTCAGTTCACCGGAAAAATGTCGAATTTCGCTATCGTCTCTTCTCCGATAGCACCATTGTCGACGTTCCACCGGAGTTCTCACTTTCCCGGAGAATCTCCGTCTTCATCTTCTTCTTCTTCCTCTTTCTTCTCTGACCTCCACCTTCCTTTTCCCAGGTAACACACATTCTATCTCTCTCTTTAATTTAGGTTTAATTAGTGTTTTTTTATTATTATTTATTATTTTATTTTTTTGTGATTTTTTCAATTGGAAATAAAATTAAACGAACAATTCATTTCATGTTGCTTCTACTGATGACCTCTTGTAATTTCATGCAAATTAGTTCTGTTTTAGAAGATTAGATGATTTTAATTTTGAATTTTGTTACATTTATCATCTTTTGCGGCGCTTCGTATTGAATTTTGTTGGTAAATGTTCATGAGTTGGTGACCTAATCTGTTCATTCATCAATGTGAAAGACAATTTTTGATTTTGAATCAAATGTGACGAGAGGATTATTGATGAAGTTATCAGGTATATTGGTACAAATGTAATTGCAGAACGTGTAGCAGTTAGCTGTATTATACTCCCTTTGTCTCATTTTCCTAAGTGGATGTATCACAAAAAGAAAGTTGAAGCAGGAACAACATTTAGGAATGGAGGGAGTATGCAGAACTTGAGCTTCATCTTTACCAAGTTTAAGTCTTCATTATTGTATGCTTCCTTGGTTTTTTAATTCCAAAAATAAAAACATTTCGATTATCAAAAAACGTTTGGAAAACTTTATCATGTAGAAAAGCATTACTTTTATATCAACTAAATGTAATTTAATAATTTAACACAAATTTAATTAGCCAAATTAGATACCAATGAGATGTTGGTGTAGTGGTGATTGGGGTTGCACTTGGTAGAGAGGACCGCGTGTTTGATCCCCACAACAACAATTGGGAAGGGACTGGAACTTAATTTGTAAGCCCCGAATCCGGATTGACCCAACGGGTGAACCGAGTGAACACACACACACACACAAAAAAAAAAAAAAAAAAAAAAGCCAAATTAGATTGATATTTATTTAGGTGAGAGAGTATGTAGATGATATATATTAAAACTAAAAGAGAGAGTGCAAGAGGATTAAAAGAAATCCTTGTGGATGTTGGAAAGGAAGAGGAAGAGGATAGAGCTTATGTAAAGTGAAGTATATGAAAGAGAACCATAAGTGATGGGCCAACAATTTATTTTTCTGTATATTAAGTTGGCAAGTATAATTTATTTCGTTATAATAATAAAATTGGAAAGTTTGCAGGAGAAATGCATGTGTGTATCTTGGTTGTAAGTCAGATTCATTTAACCTAATTATCTATTTTTGGAAAAGGAAGGGTGATAAAGGGTACTTGAAAAGACGTTAACCAGTTTGAGGAAAGATGAAGAGAAGGTTTGTGTGTGTGTGTTGGGGAAGGGGGGTTATTATAATCCCCCCCTCTCTCTTGTTTTGAAAGAAAATAAAGGGAAGTGAAGCAGGATTGGGACACATGGCATGCAAACATCTTGTTATAAAATATTAGTATAGAGACTATTGACATAGATATATTAGTATAGATATATGTATGGGTTTGATTGGATGGATATCTTTGTTGTTTAATCAACTCATTTAATTTATAATATAATTTTTGGTAATGCAAGAGAATTCTCTTAGGATGTAGGTTCGAATATCAATTGTTGGTATTTTCTTCAATAGAAAACTATCTGACTTTGATGTTGAATCACATGGACATTGATAGCTCTTTATCTGCAAACTCTTTTCCATTCCACACCACAGGAGTTTTGTGTTTTTGTAAGGCCCTTTCTATAATTTTCAGACTATGTTAACAGCTTGCTTTCTGATGCTCAGTATGTCTTTTTGGTAGGTTTGATCATCAAAGAAGCAACTGTAAAAAGGTTAGAATTTGCACAGTTTTGTGTGCTGCTGTCAAGGTCAAAGAGTATTCTTCGTTAGCATCGGATGCTTTCATGAAGGAGCCACATAAATATTTTGATCATGTAATCATTAGTGTTCGTGCTGGTGATGGGGGGCATGGGGCAATCTTTAAAATGCCAAACCAAAAGGCTTCTTCCAAAGTTGAGAATAAATATGACAAGGTGGAAAAAAGAAAAAAGATTTCATACAAAAGGGATAGTGATGGATCTCTTATACTTCCCCTTGGTGGACACGGTGGTGATGTTGTGATTTATGCTGATGAGAGTAAAGATACATTGTTGGAATTCCACAAGCAAAACCGTTATAAAGCAAAGCGTGGTGGAAATGTTGATGCTATGGGTGTTTTGAACTCCAAACAACGAGATGGATCTGCTGCTCCGACATTGCGAATACCTGTCCCGTTAGGTTCTTATAAAACCTTTAATGGCTTTTTTATTTTTTGTTTTTATCCAAATATGTCGTGATACATCTCTGTTTTTGCTTATTCATATTATTATAATCATATTTTATTCTTGAGTCGAGTTTGAAGGCAATATAAACTGCTAAACTCATTTAGTTGAATAATTTAGAGCTCAAAGGTTGTCTACATGACTACATAGGAGAGAATGAATAGTATGAAATATACACCTGTAGGATCCAAATTATGTGGAATACTAATGAATTAATGGCGCTCCCCCCCCCCCCTCTTGTTTATGACAGGTACTGTTGTAAAACGGAAGCGAGGTAAACTTTTAGCAGATCTTGCCAATCATGGTGACGAGGTTCTTGTGGCAAGGGGTGGACAAGGAGGGGTAAGGCATCAAATTTTTGAATTTGTAGACCATTAGTTCATTACTTGAATCAGAACTTTGAAGTAGAATTTTGCCGTCCTCTGTTATGTTTTTGAACTTAGGCCACTGTTTTAATCTATAACGAATGAAAATTTTCCCTATAACCATGTAGCCAAAGACTGTAGTCTATAATTTTGAGCTGTTGACAAGAGAGGGGGCGAAGCAATATTACCTCCGTGTTGCCTGAATAGTAACTCTACTCCATATAAATAGATCACACCCTGTTAAGCCTTTCTTTTTTATCTTCTCAGGTCAAGTGTCAATCATGTATCCCGTATGCATATTGTGTCATGTTGTGTTGACATTGTTGTGGCAGCCAAAATTCCAAGTTAGCCAGAGATAGCTCTAGAGCTTTCAGTAAAGTATTATTGATCTTTCTGGGTTTTTTTTTTTTTTTTTTTTTTTTTTTTTTTTTTTTTTTTTTGTGTGTGTGCGTCTTTTCCCCTAGGAAAGATACAGGGTTGGGGGATTTTGATAGTATCTATTGGCATCAGGATTCTAACCATGAATTTGGTACTCTGTCTTTTCCTCTTGGCAGATAAGCCTACTAGAAATGCCAGAGCAAAAGAAAAGTATGATGGCCGCTTTGACAACAAACATATTGAGAGATGACAGTGATAAGGTTAGTCTTCAATATTTTCCAATATAGTATGCTTTGTGCACTCAAGCCTTTTTGATCTATGTAATAAGGGGTTACTATACATTTCCATTTGCAATATAGACATTTTGAAAGTTTGAAACATGGATAGGTTAGAGCCAAGAGGTTGAAGTTTGTATCAACTGATTTGTATTGGGTCAGCATTCAGGTTATTTTGAAACTGTATATGAAAGATATAAACTAGATTATCATCATGTATACTTGTACTACATATTCTGTTACAATTGCATCAACTTTAGGTTCTGTTGGTATGAATTTGTTGAAGTTCTTTCTACTTTTAACCCTCTCAGTGACTTCTGGTATGTTTGGGGTGTTAATTAAGATTTTGAGCTATAAAAAGCAGGTAAATTTTTCTTCAATAGGGAAAAATTTATACTTAATGAGGTGTTGGGAGTTGAAATTATAATTGCTTATCCATAATCTCATAGAAAATTGTGGAACAATCTCAGGTGGATAATTTTTTTTTTTACGGATTTTTCATCAAATGCCCCTTTGTAATTTTTGTATTCACCATATACCCATGTGAAAATTTTCAAATTCACCATATACCCACGTGCTTTACAAAAATGTCACCAAATGCCCTTAATGACTGACGGTGGTTAACTTTGTTAGTCATTAGGGCTAATTATGCCACATGGTAGCATTTGATTGGTTATTTTTATATTATTTCATTAATTATAAAAAATTGAAGGAATTTTTTTTTTTAGAAAAATTTTCAAAAAAAACAAAAAAAAACCACCACCCCTAACCCCGCCCACCAGCCACCTTCCCGTTTTTATTGCCACCCTCGGCAACACCGGCCAGCCCCTGGTCGCCGGCGCTAGGCCTTCCTACCAGGCCTTTGCTCCCTCCCCCACTGACGCTGACCACCCGCTCACCCCGCCCTACAACAGTGGCCGCCGAACCATCAAACATCCCTCACCGCCTTTCCACCTTAGCCGAACCTTAGCGAAACACTCCCGCCGAAAACCTTTGCGGCAGCCAGGTAACCCCCTCCACGTAGCCGCCGCCAACCTTAGCCGAAACCACCACCCCGAAACCCTTAAATCCCAAAACCGAAACCCTTAAAATCAAAATCTAGGGTTTCGATTTTGGGGGTTTTTAATTTTGGGGTTTTGGCGTGGTGGTTCATGGGGTGGAGATAGTAGGGGAGGGGTGGTTTGGGTTTGCTGATGAGGGGATGAGAGTTTGGATGCCGGCAATGGGGTAGGAAGGGGTTTTCCAGCGGGAGGGGTGCCGACTAGTGGGGTGGAGATGGTGGACGGGTGAGGGGGAGGGGTGTTGGCTGGCAATGATGCACGGGTACGCCAACCTCCTCCGTTTCCCGTACCGGGTACGGTACGGGAATGGCCTGGATACGTCCCCAAGGCGTACCCTTGAAAAGTGGTACGAGGAGAAAATTTGGGGTCGGCTTGGAGCACCTTCAAAAACTTTTCGGGGACGGATCACCTCCATTTCCGACGTCCCCAATAGAAGCCCAACCAACTTTTTATTTTAAAACACCCCAATTTTACTTACCTGATTTTGATTTCTTGAAAACCCTAAAAATTGAAGAAGCCACCTACAATATTGCACCCCACGATTCCTTGGAGGCGACCACTTGCAGATGACACTAGTGGTTGGCGATCTACAAGCAGCCATTTCTGAACCTACGAGAAGATGAGGAAGAAGATGGGTTTTTTTTTTTTTTTTCTTTTTCTTTTTTTTTTTTTTTAATCTAACATTTCAATTGGTAAAAGGTAAAGCAGTTGTAAATGTAATTAAAAAAAAGGGTAAATTAGCTGTAATTCTCTTAACTTTTTTCACTCTCCTTTTTTTTTTTTTTTTTTTTTTTTAGTCTTACTTATCTACAGTATTACTCCGATTTGTACTCAGTAGAATTTAAAAACATTGCATGGGTTTCCTAAAAAAAAAAAAATAAAAAAAATCACTTGGTTTTTCAATAAACATTTTTCTGAATTTTAATTTTTCTGATTTTTTAGCCGTATCCTTGCTGTACCCGTTTTTTATAATTTCTATTTTGCCGTTTTTCGTCCCTGTATCCGTTTCATTGCAACCTAGCTGGCTGGTGGGGTAGGAGTTGGGGTGGCGCCAGTGCGGTGGTTTTTTTTTTTTTTCCAATTTTTTTTTATTATTCCCTACGTCCCCAAATCTTCGACCCTTTTGGGTTGATTTCGCAGTTATTAAAAAACTTAAACAAAAAGAAATAAAAACATATTGAAAAGATAAATTACATGGGGTTTGTAAAAAAGTAGAGGGATAAAGTATTAAAAATACATGAAAAAAACAAAACTTTATAAGGGGAAGCTAATTTAGCACAAATTTGTTGTATATTTTAATGCAAATGGGCCGATCATTTTGGGACTATAATTAGGCCAAATGGGTCGAAGTTTTGGAGACGGAAGGAGTATTATTTTTTTATAGTTAAATGTATAATTATTTTAAATTTAAAAAACAAAAAAACAGCCAATAAAATGCTGCCACGTAGCAATTTTAGCCTTAATGACTCACGGAGTTAATGTCCATTAGTCATTTGGGCATTTAGTGTCATTTTTATTAAAGTTAGGGGTATATGTTGAATTTGAAAAATTTCATGGGTATTTGTTGAATAAAAAAAAAAGCTCATGGGTATATGGTGAAAAATCCTTTTTTTTTTTAATAATTATATTAGGTAGAACTCTCTCCCTTTAATAAAGTTGGGTAATACTTCTAAAATGCAGATATTAATTAGTTTGTTTATCATAATAATTACTCTTCTGTATAGTTCAGTGCAATGTAAGCCATATATTGGGATAAAGTTAGAAAGTTTTACCAGCTGGTTTCTATTGAATTTTGATTTAAGTGGAATTATAAAGCACTTCCACAGTCTCATGTCCATAGTAGAAACGAATCCGCATAGAAGGTTTGATTACATTGGGATCAACACAAATAGAATAATAAAGCCAAAATATCTAATCTTATCTCTCTTTCAAAGTGGATGATTTATTAGGGTAAAATTAGAGTTTTTGTTAATTTTATATAGTTGCATACATACTTTTTGTCATTAAATGACTTAGGGCCTATTCTCATACGTTTATTTTCATTTCAGTTCAGCTGAGCTCCTAATTTCCTTTTCTTATAAAATATTCATTTCATTTCAGCTCAAATTCAGTTCAGCTGAGTTCAATCAATGAGAACAGGCCCTTAGTATATCTATATAGATATAACCTCATTCACAAAACCTAGAAACTACCAATACCCAAAACCCTTGCCTATTAGCGTCTAACTTAAAGGCCCTTAGTGGTGCCTATTAGCTTCAGTCCAATCTTCAATAGTTGCATACATACTTTTTTGTCATTAAATGACTTAGGGCCTATTCTCATACGTTTATTTTCATTTCAGTTCAGTTCAGCTCAGCTCCTAATTTCCTTTTCTTATAAAATATTCATTTCATTTCAGCTCAATTCAGTTCAGCAGAGTTCAGTCAATGAGAACAGGCCCTTAGTATATCTATATAGATATAACCTCATTCACAAAACCTAGAAACTACCAATACCCAAAACCCTTGCCTATTAGCGTCTAACTTAAAGGCCCTTAGTGGTGCCTATTAGCTTCAGTCCAATCTTCAATCCAACTCAATTATAGGTTCGATTGCATTTAGTAGTAACCCAATATCCAATTAATCCACAAATTGTATATGTACTAGATAAATATTACAGTCATCTAAATCAAATTAATTAATTGTCACATGGAGGTGCAGCTTGTCAAACTCCCGCACCTCCATGCCACATGTCAAAGTAAAGTGGTCAAATTTCTTATCATATTAAAGCATTTGCGTAGTTATAATTAGCCTATTGTTACTACATTTTATTTTATGTCATTTGAGCACGCTAACACCACGCACATATACAATATCAGTAAAATTATTGAATAAACAGGCATCCACATAACAAAACCTTTTTTTTTTTCATTTCTTTTTACATAACCATTGATGATGTCAAATGACATGTTTTTCTTATACTTAAATAATCATCCAACTACATGTCTGTTAGAAAATTAATTGCAGCTACAATCGTTATCATAACATTGTCATAGGCGGTAGATAATTTAAGAAATGGAGAGAGAGGTGAATTTAGTAGGCAACAGAAAGGACAATAATTTAGAAAGTTCGCTTGTAATGTACACTGTTGTCTCAAAGTAAGGAAAGAAAGAGTACCAGACTTCTGACAACCTTATAATATTTTAACTATGCTGATGTGGCAAGGGTTTCAATTACAAACTTGGTTTAGTGAGCTATGAGTTAACTAACTAATACGCACTAACAGACCAACACCCCCTGAACACCCCCTGCAAGCTCGAGGATTTGACAAGTCAAACTTTCGGGCTTGTTAAGAAGATGTCAATGTTGAGCAGAGAGCAAATTTTGGCAATAATATCAGCAACCTGAGGACTTTGTGGGAAAATTACTGAGCTAAAGAAGACATGCGAGTACCTTATTCGGATATCCCTTGTGTATACACAGTCCAATTGAACTTGATTAGTCTTCTTGGTATGTGGAGCTAGAGTAAGAAGGAAGATCTTTGAGGAAGAGAGGGAGTAATTATCATTTCCTGCAAGTTTTAGAAATATGTAGTAAAGTTTTTCTTCCTTACATAGCAATCTTATGTTTTCTGGGCCTCCATAAAGCATCTTTTTTCTATCATATTATGCTGTTTTTTATCACAAGGACTTATTCACATTTGTGCATTATATTCTTGCTGGTGAGTTGCAGGTTCTAGTCCTTGGTCAAGCTGGGGAGGAAGTCAGTTTGGAATTGATACTCAGAGTAGTTGCTGATGTTGGTCTTGTGGTATATTCTCTACTGGTTATTTTGAATTTCATAATCCTTTTGATGCTTATTCTGTGAACAGGCAACATAGGAGACTGTTTGGGGCTAAAAGAGACAGCATTACTTTACGCATTCCCCCAACCCTGTCAAGGATCTGATAGTTGAATTTGATATTTTCTAGGGACTCCCAAATGCTGGAAAATCTACCCTTTTATCAGCTACTACACTTGCGAAACCGGATATAGCTGATTATCCCTTTACGACTCTGATGCCAAATCTTGGTCGCCTTGATGGTGACCCTTCTTTAGGGGCAGCTATGTATTCCTCTGAAGCAACATTGGCAGATTTGCCAGGTCTTATTGAAGGTGCTCATTTGGGCAAGGTACTTGAACTGATGCAGTTTCAATTACCACTTAATCTGGCACAAGTTACTAATTCTGTAACACACATTCTGCAGGGTTTGGGTCGTAATTTCCTTAGGCATTTGAGAAGGACTCGGTTGCTGGTTCATGTTGTTGATGCTGCTGCAGAGGACCCTGTGAAAGACTACAGAACAGTCAAAGAAGTATGCATTGTTTTTCTCATACAGCAGCTAATTGAACAATGCCATGCATAGCAGTTCCTATGTTCTATATAACATTTTGATGAAATACTTCATATAATGTCCTCGTGACAAGGTTACTAATGACTGTCAAGTGGTGTTTTCCTAGAGGCTAGAATCAGTAGCTAATTGTGTTTGTTACATGTGGTTTGAGACTCTGGGTTATAGTATGGGGCTACAAATTATCTAAGATATGAGATTGGCTGGTATATTACCTTTTGCTGTATTGCAATTATATGGGTTCTTTGAAACAAACTCTTCTGATATAATTATATCCTTCATATCTTTCTCAAGTACCTGATTGGTGTATAACAACAGATTATTAAATGATTGCAATTTGTCTGCTTTAGATCCTGAAAATTTACCTAAATTAGTCCAAAACTAATTTACCTATGTGTGTGCAGGAATTGCGGATGTATAATCCTGATTACCTTGAACGACCATTTATTGTGGTATTAAATAAAATCGACCTTCCTCAGGTATTGTCATTTTCTGTGCTGGTGGTCTTGTAGCATTTTCTTACCATGTTTATGCATTTTTTTTTTCTTGTTTACTGATAATATATTATTGGATGATGTTATGAGTAATTGAGTTTATGATTAAGTACAAACACTAGTATCATAAGACTTCTTTTTGTGAAAAACACCTACATAGCTGATTTGCTTCACAAGTTTATATCTCAAAATATTGTTACTATCTAAAAGTGTGATTGCATATATGGCATAGGTTGATAAGCAAAGCCATGCTCTAATGTCCTGCCAGTATCATCAAGGACATTTGGTGGTGTTAACAATAAATTTGTTACTATATTGGGTTCTGATCATCACGTACAATTTTAAGTGAATTATATAATATTGATATGAACTAAAGAGCATTTGCAAACTGATTATTTTTTATCTAGCGGTATCGGGAACGCATATTGATGGAGCATTTGATATGAAAATTGGCTGCCTTGTGACAGAACCTCAGTTTAGGTCTAAAAGTGTACTGCCCTGGAATTTTATTCTTTGTGCTTCTGTTACTTTGTAATGACACCTTGTCTTTGTGTATTTTCTTTTTTTAGTTTTTGAAAGTTAATGTACTTTTTATCTGTACAATTTTTGTGAAATATATCCTTATTTAAAAATGTTCCTTCTTTTCTGGTTGTAGATTTTTATGTTTTGTGTGAAATGACTGAAATCCCAATGATGCGCTTTATTTGTGATTTCTCTTTAATTCATCCTCAATGTTGCCTGTTCTCTATATTAATTTATACTTCCTTTGGTTTTATATTGCAACAATTACTTTTTAAAGAATGTCACAAATGTTGCATTGTTTACATCTCCTTTCACATTTTAAATATCCAATATGCATGTACTAACTAACATCTCTAAGTCCCTTATTCACTTGGGTTTTGACAGTAAAGGTTTGTGGTCCATTACCTTTTACCCACATTTTCTTAATTTTTTAGCCTCCTCTCTACGTTGCAATATATCTTAATTTATTTTGGTTGAATGTTATCATCTACTCCGTCCGTTTCTTTTTGTTTGTCCTATTTTCTTTTTACACAGTTTTCAATGTAGTATTGTAATTAAAATTTCTCATCCGACGTATAGCAAAAAATATTTATAAAAGTTTTATGTTTAGAAACCACAAAACCTAGATGAATCTAACAAGATTCCATATGACCATGTTTTGAAGTGTATTTTATCCTTAAAATATTAGATTCCATTTGCTTTGGAATCTCCTAAGATTCCAAATAGATGAATCAATGTGATTGATTAAGATTTTCTGTCTAATTAATTTTTATAATCTTTATAGACTTGGCCTTCATTGCATTTCTAACCTTGCTTTTCTTGAAATATTATTCCCCCTACTTAGTTAGATTTATTACTGCTTACATGATACATTTAGATCGCCCTTGACTCCCTATACTGCCAATAGAAGGATCCATGCTAGATTGTTGTTATTTTTTTATTCTTGTATGATAATCTTAATTCTCGACTAAGATTGTTTTTGTTATTTCATGATTATTACTTTAATTGCTACTAGTAATTCATTTTGTTCTTATTTGTTCCAGGCAAAGGATAGACTCCCAACCCTGACTGAAGAAATTCTTAAAATTGGTCAGGACTGTGGATCCACTCCCCTGGTGTTAGGTGCAAGCTCTGAAGATACAGCTCATACTAAAGCCGACGATACAATTCCATCAGCTTCTGAGATTAACAAGAGAGATAAAGAGATTGAGGACTATCCACGACCCCTTGCTGTTGTAGGAGTCAGTGTTTTGTAAGTAATCATTTAATTTAGCATATGGCTTACGCACTGTGTTATCAGCATTTTTATCGTTTTCGAAGCTTTAGATATGTGCATGTAGGACATAGTGGTGATCTCATTAGGCTGTAGATCTCTGTGTTTTTTTATTTTAGTTTCTTACATTTTTCATGTAGATACAATGCTTTGCATTTATGGTCCCATGTGTTGTGGTCGAGTTGAGTAGTCAAATTTGGGTTTTAAAGCAATTTCAATCCGCTAAAAATGTTGCGTAATAAAAGGAATCTGTTACACTAACTCTGTTGCTAATTGAAGAGATTCAATTCCCTTCTTGCACGCATGCATACTATGCGGCATGGATATCCAAGTGTTGAATTAGTCCGTTGTGTGATGAACTGTTAACAGGCTGGAATGGCAGCTTGAATACCTTGAAGTGTCAAATTGATCCACTTATTCACTGTTATTTTGCAATGAACATTTTACAACTATATTTGGAACTAAATTGCAAGCTATAAATCTCATGTTGTACTTCCTTTGTTTCATAAGAATTGTAACACTTTGTGTTTCACATATTTTAGTGTTCACCTTTGACCATTAATACCTCTAATAATAATCAATTATATGACTATCAATATAAATGAATGATATTTTATAGTATATTGATATATTTATGAAATGAAGTTATTGATATTATAATAAATATGGTCAAAGTTTGTATAAGTAAAAGTGTTGCAACTTTTATGAAATGAAGAGATTATAAAATTTGAGATAGGAGTTCTTGTCAGTTATAGATTCACTTCATGGTAAGAACATTTATCTTGCACCTGGGGCAAGATAGATTTTGTAGTATTGAGAGGCCTTTGTTTACCCATAGTTATTAAGTTGAATTACATTGTTTTAAATACTAATAGCTCAATGCTTTAATATGAAGGAACTTTGTATAGAAAAGAGTAGGATGGTAAAAGTCTTAATTGGGTAGGTTTTTAATTCAGCTTTGAATTGACCTGTAAAGAAATTAATATGTGCAAACACATACCCAGAATTTATGTAGAATGGCTGGAATTATACTTATATAGATGCAAAATTTAGCAATAGACAAGAGTCATGCATAACTTTTGATAGTTTATCAGGGCATAAATGTAAAAGCTAGAAAAAGTGAGGTAATCAGATAAAATTTCATGAATTGCTGAAATTCTATCCCTTGGGATTGCCAGGTTACCCAATTTACCTACAAATACTCTTAATGCATATACTCCACATATGTTCATGCTGACTATCAGTGGCAAGAAATTTTTGCATGTAGAAAGGGTTTTCAAGAATCTTATCTTTCCATTTTCCTTGCGTCAATTGCATCCTAACCTTTGATAGTTTTTACCTTTTTCCCAACAAGAGTATTTAAGCTTGTTATTATTCCTCTTGATATCTTGAAAACCTTACAACAGAATCCAGGTGTTGGGAACTTGGGACTAATCATATCTTCATCCTTGCCCAACAACAACAACAACAAAGCCTTAGTCTTAAAATGATTTGGGGTTAGCTAAAATGAATTGTCATAAGGAACCGTACAATATTAAGAAAGGGATATAACAAGATAATCATTTGAATGAGTTTGAAAAGGTTAATAAACTGAGCAAACAAAAGAGTGTCCAAGAAAAATTAAGGGAGTTTTGAAAGAGAACTAAGAATAAAATTTAAGAAAGTTTTAAAGGAGTGATTAAATTGTTGGTGTAAAAAACATAAAAGTTTGAGAAAAGTTTAGCAAAGGAAAACAATACATAATCTAACAATTCCTGCAGTGGGAAAAATAGCCTGGTTCAACAATTCCTGTTGAGGGCCTAATAGAACAACTATGATGTATTAAGGATTTTCTAGTGCATCAATGTGATTTTAGTGAGACTTTAGTAGCTAACATAGTTACATGAAAACTATGTGAGCTTAATATACAATTGATTCTATTCATAAGTGATCACAGTAGTTATGGTTATCCAGGTAGAATACTCATGTGTATATGGTTATCCAGCTATTGACATTGTTTATAAGCTGTTAACACCATATTCAAGCACAGTAAACAGCATATTCATCCTAATGCATCTAGTTATGGTCCTGTGTACAATTATGTTCTGTGTCCAAGCCATTTGTGCAGTGGCTGAAGTTGGATTTGAAAATTTATGTAAACATTGTCTTATGAAGGATAGATTTTGTTCTTTATAACAGCATCAAGTGTTTCTTTCACTAGTGTAAACATGAAGACTTGGTTGATATTTTAGAACAAGTTAGGATCTTTCTGAAAGATGTTTACATATTATGAAAGAATGTAGTGACGTTTTTTCCTTAAGGTGTCTTGTGCTTTTACTCATTAATAGAGTTAAAACATCCTGGTCTCATATGTAATTCCCTGCATCTCTTAAGGGTGCTGAGGATGCAAGCAGTTTCCGTTGATTTCCATTTCTTCTCTATCCTTCCTTTTGTTTTACACCAGCAGTTTCACTTGTTAGACTTGATCCGGTCTGGATGTGTGTGCTTCATTTATAAGAAAAATAATTATGGAAAAGCTTACCATTCATCTTGTATCATCAGGAATGTAATATGTGTTTGTAGTATATGACTTGTATCACCAGGAATGTACTCTGTGTTTGTAGTGCTGTGGAAAACTTTTCAACTATACTATCTGCATAATTTGCATTAATCTGTAAATAATATTTCCTTGTGACCATGGGTCTTTTGCACATTTTTAGGAAGGGCATCAATGTGAAAGTGATGTTAGAAGAAATAAGGAAAGCGTTGCGGAAATGTCGAGATACTCAAGAATTCCCTCTTGAGTTTCAGCGTTAAGGATTTTCCTTGCATATCACAGGTTTTAAAGAGATGACATTACGGCAAAAGGTCAGGTCATTTATGCAGATGACCAACAACATCAAGGTAAATATCATTTTTCTTGTGATTGTCAGGCATTTATCTGAATCTAACATTGGTTCATCAACTTATTATAGAGGTTTAAATGGCTGATGTTTCTTTCTACCAGGCTTATAATAGAGTTGAAAATTCATGCTGATTCTTATGACCTTTGCAACACATAATTGGGTTTCTTAAATGTTCAAACTAAGTTTTCGGACCTCTGCGCTACAGCTCTATCGGTATGGAAGACTTCTGTTTCTAAAATCATCCACACGCACACATCACTAGTGCCTAGATTAGTATGAATAGTTTCTCATTTTTTCTCTTGTGTTTCCCATTAGCATCATAGTATAGTGAACATGGATGAAACATGGTTATTATGTGGGTATAAATATACAGTTTCTTAGTACCTCTTTCTTGAGTTACTCCACTGTCATTTTCACTGTTAACTGAAACATTATTTAATGGGTACACACTTATACAATGTCAAGCCTAATTCCACTATCATTTTCACCCTTTAATATTTCATCCACTATGACATCTTAATTTTTAAAGAATCTCTTGCAACGTACATAACTGTCATTCGCACTGAAAACCATTAGTTTCCCAGAATACGAGAAATATACTGGTGTAACCTTTGGGTTTGGCCGCGCCTACTTTTAACTCCTCGAACAATAAACCCTGTAAACTTTGTGTCCCAAAAAAACGAACCCCTTATGACGAGCAGTGGCGGACCTGGGCTTGTGCCTGGTGGGTCAAGTGACACACCAGGGCCCAAAAAAAATTCTAAGTTTTCTTTTTTTTTTTTAAAAAAAAAAATAAAAAATTCTAACTTCAGCCTGTTCCCCTTTCACCTTCTCCTCGCCGCAGCTGCAACAACATTTCGCGTTCCCCTTTCATTCTCCCTCCTCATTCACTAATGGTCATGGTGGTCGTGAGAGATAACGACTGTGTGGTTTGATTTCTAGGATTTTTTTTGGTGTTCATGGTATGAGATTCTTTAAACTTTCCCCTTTAAATTTCAAATTTAAGGTTTCTTTGCATAATTACTAGTTCAAATCTTTGATTTTTTTTCGATTTCTAGGGTTTCGATTTGTAACTGTTGGTGGTGGTGGAGAGCAGCGATGGTGAGGTTCGATTTGTGCATATAGATATGCAAAGTAGCTAGAATTTTGAATGTGTTTGGCTTCATGTGTGTTTTTCATTTGCTAATTGCCTAATTTAATTTACGATTTGGGGATTTTTGATGTAGGTTTTCTGTATTTGATTTAATTATGTCATTTTTGTTTAAATTTGTGTTTTGTGCCAGTTTTTTGCTCGTAAAGTTGAAGGGGTTTTGTTATCTACTAATGGGTAGTCAGGATTAGCTGATTTTTGTGTGAATAAGGATTGTTTTGAAGTTTAATTAGCTTAATTTATGTGGAATTTGTGCTCAAATAAAGTACTTGCTATGAGCTATCTGTATAATCATTTTGTTTGCTTAAACTAAACAATTTCGTCTAAAAAAGTAGAAATTGAAGATTGGTTTTGAGTCTTTTGACTGTGTTTAGTTATAGTTTTGTCTAATTGTCTTCATTATAATTTTTAAGTCCCAAATGATTTATTTTAATATGATTAGCCGATTAGAAACTGAAGATTGGTTTTAATTAGCCGATTTGGGAATTTTTCCTCTAGAAACTGAAGTTGTGACCGGATATTTGACTATTTGAGTTGAGTAGTTGAGCCCTATAATTTTTGTTTAATTGATATTGATTATTATTTCTGATTTTCTGTTTAATTGATATTAATTATTGAATTTATTATCATTCATTTTGCATTTATCATGTATGTGTCGCAATAACTGATTTGGATGATCTTTGTAAATAATTTTTCTGGGGAATATTGCTTGATTTAGTTGAATATTGCTTGATTTAGTTGAATATGAACCGTCCAACCAATTATGAATAGGGGTAATTCGCTGTTGGGGTTATTTGCATATGATTCATACTTGTGATTTCATTTGTTTTGTTAACTTTGTGTTTGATTAGGTTGTTGAATTTATATGCAGGGAAGACTCAACTTATCAATCATTTTCTAATCAACAAGAGTTGGTATATTGTTAATTTGCCTGGATATGGGTGAGTCTCTGTAATTTTGGTTTTAATTTGGGCAATTTCTGTAATTCTTGAGTCTATTTCATGCTGGGAATATTGTATACTTGTATTGTGAATCAATTGTTATTCGTGTTTATTCCTGATCATATGCTTGAATCATATTGAAGTGCCAAAAAAGGATTGCTTTTACGCCTTGAGGCATTGCTTCAAAATTATTGATCATCCTGTAAAACATGTTGCGGACTGATATGTAATTTAGGCTACATCCGTTGTAGTTAATTTGGTCTCCAATCGTGTTGTTTATTTTCAAGTTTAGGAAGTAAATGTCTCCTTACATGTCATTGTGAAATTTTATTTTACATATTTGATTATCGATTGTGACTCACCAGTCGGAAATTCCTGGGTCCGCCACTGATGACGAGGAGTCTTAGGTGCCAGCAGTTGCCCTGTGCCTTTGACAACTGTCGAAGTAAACGGGCCCACTCTGTCTGAGAAACATCAGAGGTACAGAGTTATGATTATACAGCAAGTTCTATGAATCTTGAACTTAAGAGTTTAATACGTCAGAGATGATGGTAGAGAACTTTTTAACGACAGTCCCACGTAATCTTTCTTGACATGCAGACTCCTGCAAACTGTCAACCCAGTGAAGGGAAGACCTTGCAGACTTGCCTTGAGTTTCCCCGGTGTGTGCTTATCCTCAATCCTCTCCTGCTTGCTAAACACACTTGTTTAAAATATAAAATTTAGGAGAGAGAATTTTTTTGACACCCCACCCAATAGGAAATCGGTCCTATCCAAACCCAAACTTTGATTCACACTACCCCTTGACCCTTACCCCTCTTTTTCCCTCTAAAAGCCAAGTTAAATAAAATCTAAGTTCTTTTTCTTTTTCTTTTTTTTCAATGAAAATCATATATCTAGTCTGTCTATGTTACTCGAACTCTTTATTTCATTTCAGTTACTTGTGTCAGATTCCGTCGCTTTATTTTAGGCAAAATTATGGAAGATTACCATTAAATAGCCAAGTCGGACACTTAAGACACGTATCCCTGTTTGCTGCGAGTACCTAAGTCTGAGTAACTTATCATTTGGTTTTGGTTTTGTTATTTGAAATAAAGAAAAAAAAAAATGTGTACAAATTCAGTTTGCCAAGTGTGGATGTTGTATGGAGCAGGGAGATATTAAAGAGACACGATGAACAGGTTTATGCTGACAGCTATCAATCCAGATTTCACTGTAGACACGTATTAAGGGGGAAAAAAAGGTTGAATTTTCCCACCCTTATTAATACATATTCCTCTCCTACATTGCAACATATAAATAACAGAGGAGTTACCCACCTCAATAGTGGCCAGGAGTGCAGCTTAGCTCATCAGTAGCCTTATTATACACACGAACTCACATTTTTCTCACTTTCTTTCTTTCTCTCTCTCTTTATTCATTGTTGTAAGTTAATTGCCTGATCTCTGTACTAGTTTCTCCTACAATGTTGAAGTCCAAGTTGGGCTTAGGGGAGAAGAAACAGGGGAAGAAACATCAGGTTTGCCAGGCTAGCTCTAGGAAGGGTTGTATGAGGGGCAAAGGGGGACCTGAGAATGCCCTTTGTACCTACAAGGGTGTCCGACAGCGAACCTGGGGCAAATGGGTGGCCGAGATTCGTGAGCCTAATCGCGGTGCTCGCTTTTGGCTTGGCACCTTTAACACCTCTCATGAAGCTGCCTTAGCTTATGATGCTGCTGCTCGTAAGCTTTATGGCACTGATGCCAAGCTGAATTTGCCTGAGGTCTTCCCACACCAGCTTCCCAACTTGGCCCAAACCCATGTTCAGGCTCGGGTTCAGGCTCGAGGCCAGGTCCGGATTCCTTGTTATCAGAACGGGTACAACCTCTGTTGCTTATCTGAAAACAGCTCGCTTTCTGGTGCAAGTGACCTTAGTTTTCCAATTGAGGAGACTAATTCTACTTCCACAATCACTGATAGCACTACCACAAGTGTAGAGAGCTTTGGTGAGAATGAAGTTGGGGTTAACCATGGTCTCTGGGAGAATTCCAACCCAAGTTTACCAGAGCTCGACGATTCCTTGTGGGCTGAGACTGCTATGACCCTCGGATTTCCTCCGCGTGTCATCGATCCACAACCCGAACTCTCAATCTCCGACGAACCGGGGTTATTGTCCGGCAACTTATATGATGACAGCTTCCAGTTTCTATGGTCTTCTTAAACAAAAAACCAGCCACATATTTGAAGGCATGGGATGGGATAGAATAGCCACCATGAAGTCTAATATAGTATATGTAGAAGTAGATGAATGTGCAAGTGAATAAGGGTTTAAGAGGAAGAAAAACTTGGATGTGACAGGTAAGGAAGGAGTAACAAATATGTATATATAGGACTATTAAAAGTACCTTAGTTTTTTTAATCCTTTCTTTTTTTAGTAATATTGAAATATGAAATAGTAGTAGTGGAACTTTCTGTATTTAGAAAGTTTTAAGATTGTAACTTGTAAGGGAAAGAAGTAGGAATGGTGGTAATTCTCTCCCCTATCATTTGAGTTTTCTTTAAAAGGACTTACTATATATAGTTGAACATGTGTACAAATTTTATAGGGTAATAATAATATATAAAAAGTGTTGCAGAGTTTTTTCTGTACTAAAAATACTGTGGAAGTCATTCTCATACTCGTTTTAGTCGTCTCTTTGCAGTCTCCCAAATCCCAAGTGTTTCCTACTAGAATAGTAGAATCCCCTCCATCATTCTAGATGCTTAGAAAATCACATCTTCAAAACATTAAGAAATTAAAAAAAAAAAATCTCATGTTAAATAACATTATTAGGGTTTGTTCTGTTTACCTTATTTTCACTTATGTCTAATCAAGTTTAGATAAATTCATTTTAGGAAAAATAAGTTCTAATAATGTTTAAATGACAACTAAAATAAGTTCTTAAGTTAAAATAAGTCCAAATAAATTTAGTTATTAAGTTTAAATAAGTGAAAATTAGGTGAATAGAACACACTCCAACCTTTTTAGTTTCATTAAAATTACACATACTTTCTTCATTTTTTTTATTTGTTCCATGTTAGATTTTTTCGTTCGTGTAATGCAAAATTTGATATACTCCATAGTCCATTAACAATGTATATTCAGACAACTACAATAATATTAAACATTATAACATTTGTTTTATTATTAAAAAAAAATTACTATCAAGTTAAAAAAAATCTGAGTATTATTGTACTTTCAATGTACTTATGTACTCGTATTGCTTTCAAATGATTGTTATGTTTAACTTTTTGCATATTGTGATGCAACATTTTAGTATAAATATCTTCAAACACATGTTATACGTGGCTAGCTGCATCGTGAGAGACTAATCATTACTCGATCAGTGTTAGGGGATACTTTATCAACATTATAAAATTACTCGATCAGTATTACAAAATTACTCAGTCAGTATTATAAAATGTACTTTATTTGCGCTGTTTGAGGGTAGAATCTCTTACGTGTTCCCTTCACTCTTAATGGATAGACTTCTGTGAGATTCTAGTACGGTAGCACAATCCTCCGTACCACTTAAAAAAAAATGTGTCCAATAAACTACTATCGTGCACCGTATATTTGAGAATGAGACGGAGAGATTATATTCATATGACCCATAAGATGGTGACAGTGTTTGGCAGAAGATTACTTATTATAATCATTTAGCAAATTAAAGTAAAGAATAGCGTTAAATATCTACTAGAATCAGTTCATACTTCATTCCGCCGAAAATATTATCTCAATTAGGATTAGGATTAGGATTTGGATTTAGGACCCACACTTTGTAAATCTAAAGTCTTTAATAATACCAAGTATGTTTTTCTTTAAGAACATTGTTAGCTAAGCTACGTGCCCTTTTAAGGTGTATGAACTATGTAGAGCGATGAGGGAGTATGTAATACGTAGAGCAACACTGATATTTTAGTTCTCGAAAATAAAATAATTACTTTATACGGAGTATTAAATGCTTAAATAATACGAAGTAATTGTTTAGTTCGATATAGAAAGTACACTGTAATGTTTTACGTTTCATGAGTTTATCAACCCAACAATTTTACATTCTTTTACTTTCTAAAAAATTTCTACTTTCATACGGAGTAGTAGTCATTTGAATAAGCACGTACATTAATCACATTATTGTACAGAATACGTATACATTAATCACATTATTGTACAAAGTACATATAGGAGAGCTACATTCCATCCTAAATACGGAGTATTACTCTATTATTTTCTAGTACAATTGACAACATTCTTGACATTAACATTTTTTACGAAAGGCCCCGATTAGCAACCATGTTGATATGCGCCAATGACCAAACTGAGCAGCAACATGTAGAAATAGAATTACTCTTGTTACATTGAAGCAACCGAAGCTTCTTCTTGTATAGGATGCCAATATCTATTGTGAAGCCATAAAGAATCTGCTTCCACAGCATATCCATCTTGATTACGGTGCCAACCAAAATAAGCGTGTGATCTGTTCTTGATGTCGAAAATGCCATGACCAAAGCTGGCCTCGCGATAAGCAGAGTACTCTGGCTGTGGTTGGGTCATCCTGCATTAGAGTTAAACAGCAGTCTTATGAAACTTAATTGTTCTTCTACAGTCTCTACAAGTATAGAAGTGAAAATAGTCAAAATACATTTAATAGTCCTATGTTATCAATTCGAAAAAAAGTGTAGTAAAAACATACTCGTAAACCAATCCTTCAAGATTCCCTCCATCTCCAATAGTTATGTAAACTGGAGCTGACTGATCACTGACAGGACCACATACACCATTACTGATGTTATATGCTATGTTGGAAATACGTTCCTCCATTAATAAACGCAAGCAAAGTGTTAAGGGTGTGTTGATTGTGTGACAAAGAGAAAGATAGTAGATCATAGATTTATGATACTTACTGATCTCTCATAGGCATGTACATGACCAGCAAAGATGACGTCGACCTTGTATTTGACAAAATACGGTTCATACAGGACTCTCATGGTTTCTCCCTCCATGTAATGATGCACGTAACTACTATACATTGGGCAATGCATTACAACAACGAGCCAAGGGGTTTCGGTCCTATTAACCTTAGGCAGTTCATCCATTAGCCATTTGTATTGAGGTGTGTATTTCCCTGCAAATGTACAATGTATATGAAGAAGTTCACAAAGCAAACATCATACTATAATATTTACATGTTCTTTTTGCGAAATACCATATGACTATACCTTGCCAGACTAATAAACTAAATTTAAGGATACTTGGATCTATGATACTACAAAAATAAAGAAAAAAACCTACCAAAAGCTGAGTAGGATGCCATGACTATGATATGGGCTGAAGCTCTTTTAATAGAGTACCAATAAGGAGCAGTACTGTGTGATGCTTGATACGGTGTTGGAAACCGATATGTATATGGCTTAAAAGGTATAGTTTCACCCTGCAAGAAGCAACAAAACTCAGCCCTTAAGGTTGCACCATTTTACTGATGAATTGAGTGAGAAGGATCAGACTTAAAGGGTATAATTGATTTCGACTTGCATTATATCCTTGAGTGGCAGTCAAGTGTCAAGAACCCAAAATTTACAAGTTCAAGATAGAGAGTAACAAAAGGCGGATAGAAAAAAAACAAAGAAAGTATATGTTCTTATTTTGAAGAATATGTAAGCTTTTTTGTTTGCTTAGCTATTGATAAACTAAAGCAAATAATATACACAGGAAGCTGTTAGTAGCAGTATAAGATGTCCATTGAAAAATGTCCACTTGTAACCCATGACTCTAAGAAAGGCAAGCAAAGATTGATATCTGTTTGAAGTAGCAGCAAAACATTGAGGAAACATACCACTTTTGGTAGAAAATCTATTTCATGGTTTCCGGCAGACCAGATCCATGGTTGATAAGCAGCATTTCTTTCAATAAATCTTCCCCATGTATCCCACCTTGCATTATCATTGTTTGGGTAGTTGTCTGCATATGATAGGTCTCCAACAAACAGGAGTGTCTTGCCTTTCATTGGGTTTAACTCGTAATGTGTAACTGTCCTGTTTGAATCATGTGTTTGACCAAGGTCCCCTGCTTGTTGAGAATTCGCCACAACAAATAACGTATATAGTTACCATACTCTAGCCTTTTTAACAGTGAATGCTAAGGAAAAAAAAAAAAGACAGATTTTAGCATTTGCTGATTAATTCCGTACTTAGCATGTCATCGATCAGAACAGGCAGTTGTGACTTTTGTGAGTAACACGATTGGAAACCTTATAAATGAAGCCATACCTATAAGACCGAAAGTATAAGGGACATCAGGACCAGGTTCTGGTGGCGTAAGGAACCAAAATTGCCTCAATGGATTGCCAGATCCAACCTCATAGTAATATTTTGTATCAAACTACAGCCAGCAGCATGCTAAGTTAAGCTAAAATTTTGGCATTTAAAGGGAAGACATAATCTCATAGTAAGAAAAATTCCATGCCCAAATGCACTTAGGAAATGCTTGATAAAGTTAACTTGATAACCGAACTAAGAAAATCATGCTCGGGTGTATACCTCTAATCCCGGTATAGTGCAATGGTGAATGTAGCCTGAAGTGTAATTGACAAACTTGTAAGTAAGAACAATGCCTTCTGCAAGTTTCTTTTCTGTGCTGTTTTCCGCCCAGTAAGTTACCGTGTTTGATCCAGGCTCGTCTGGAGTTGTCCAAGAGACGATCACAGCTCTACCAATGTGGTCTCCTTGTGTTATATGAACCTTCAATGAACCATACTCACAATATAAGAAAAAACAAGCATAATCTGACCTCACTTCAGATCAGCAACATAATAGGAGGTCTAAAGATTCAACCAATAGTACTTTCGATTTCTCTATGTACGTCGATAAATGTTACTCCTTTAGTCCTCTAGTCCTATAATACCCCTTCGTTCCCATTTACTATTCATGTGATAGAATTTTGAAAAATTTGTCCGTCTCTAGTATATAGAAAGTGGCCTATTATTTTGGGACGACCTAGTAATTAAGAAATGCAGCCTAAGAGTATTTCTCAAGGACAGGACAGAAGAATTAGATATATTACAAAGATGCCAATGAATGATTTATAGTTTCAGAATCATACACAGAATAACATGTTACTTATTCATTTGCAATTACTTGAACAATGATATTAACTAAAACATACAAATTCCAGCATATGATGAATAAATCCACAAAATACACAAACAAATCATAATGCTTAATAATCAAATCATCTGTCAGACCCTAACAACTTAGTATACTATTAATCACTAATCAGACATGATTTATGCTAAATTAGAATATTACATGCTATAAAACCCAAAATTAATTGTAAACTATTATACAATAAGATTAGGAAATAAATAATACATACAAAAAGTTAATTATAAGAAATTACCTGTTGTGGAGCATTATAACCAGGAGGAACTTGGAAAACATCGCTATCTAATGGCATATCAATCGAAAGATCATTACTTTTTCTTGAGAAGCTACTTGTTATACCCCCTTCACAAATTTCTGAAACATTTAAGATAATTAGTAGCAAAATAACAAGATTAGCATAAACCCACTTCATAAACATCTCTATCTTCTCTAAGCTAAGCCTTAAAAGCTAGAATCTTTCAAATTAATACAAGATTATCTATGTTTTTGAAGTGGGTTTTCTTCTTTAGCATGCATAATCTATTTGAAATTGAGCTGTAGGAAGCACAAGAACAAAGTGCCACAAAACTAGTTAAGTAGAGAAAGAATCAATTTTTTTTGAGGAATTTTAATGTATGAAGTGGCAGTATTATGTCCTTATTTGGAAGGAATATTCATTCCAATTATTCGAATTTTTGGTTATCTGATGATTAATGATTTAATGTTCCAAACTAATACAAGTAGGATTTTGATTGATTTAGGGATTAACACTAATCAAATTGTTGGTCTTTGAGTAGGTAGGCTTTTTTGGTCACATTGAAGAGGCTGAAAATAGTTCCATTTGGGCTTATAACAATCTCTCGTATAGTTATATTGTGTTTATTATGACATTTAAACCAAAGTATACAAATACAACTTACAAGTATATTTCAATTTTCTCAAGAATTAATTTTATATCGTGGATGGTCTCAACTCCATATTTCCATAAGCCTAGATATAGAATATTCAATTCGTATCCAATTATCCGATTTTTGAATCACTTGATTTAAAATCTAAAATATCGGTTGAAATTACCTGACCTAAATTTAACGAAAATGATATAAATGAGTGTGTTTCATTATTAACATATTGGCATTGTAAATTATAAACTAAATATGACCTCAAAAAGGGACTTTTTCCTCAAATGATTTTTCACTAAATCATGACACAAATCTAATTAATCTGATCCGAATGACCCGATTATCACGTCTACATAATATGAACAAGAATACATTTCTTTGATATCAGTTAAATTAGTAAAACACAAATATCTAAGGCCCCAAAAGTGCAACATATATTCAACCAAATATCGGGTATGACTCAACCAAACCACTTGCATATAATCTAAAAAGTTAGCCATTCTCATCTAGCCTTATGCTTACACAAAATTTACATGGAAAACCATGAAATGACTTCAATTTTTGGGAGCAATATGAAATCGACAAAACACGAAAATGTATCAACCCGACTCAAATAGACATAGTATTTTGTCATATTCCATTAACCTACCGTTCACATTATGAGTTTTGCTACAAAACAAATTCTAGTTTTCCTTTCACACAAATCTAAGGGGTATCTCATTAATGTTGTAAATTAAGGCTACATATTACTCCGTATGATTTTGTAACTATGCATATTTACCTATTATTAGTAGAAAAAAGTAGATTGTATTTTACATAAATGATTACCAAGTAGTGCATGGTATAGTTGATAGAGCCCAATTAGCAGTTGCGGTTCTTGAGGGTGGGGATTCCCTTATTCTCCAAGAGTCAAACTTGTATAACTAGATTGATTATTAATTTTTTATTTTTTCCTAGATATCATAGTGATTTATATAGATTATCCGTGAGATAGATAACACCATCTTTTAAATACACCTAGCCGAGTGCATGTAGAGATAGGTGCACCTAATGAGCTTCTTATGTTAGACTTGGTACTACGAAGGATTTAGGATTTCAAGTTTTCAACCGCAAGTTTCACCACTTAGGCACTTAACTACATACCCATCTCCCAATCTTCATGTTTATGAAGGATTTCAACCCAAAATACCTCTGAAGTACAGCACGAATTTCCATTGATCTGGCAAATCCCAGTAATGCTAGGCTCGAGCCTTCGTCCGAGAATTTTCACCGGAAAATGAAAATCTTTCCGTAATTGGTAATTGGTATGTTTTTATTTGCAATTTTCCTTATTAATGCCCTTTCAATTCACTATTGTAAGTGGTAAGTGTTTGGGTCCAATTTAGTCCAATTGGGCCTAAGCACTAAATGATCCAATTAAAAGCCCAAGGTCAAGGTTCAACTCTCCAATTGTGCTAAAGTCAAAGGTCAACCCACAAAGCAAGCCAATTGGGCTAAGGCCCAACCTCTCCATGTATGATGAGGTATAAAAGCCATCATATTGATACATTCAAAAAGGGATTCATTCTGATTCATTCATAGATTCATATGTTCATTCATATATTCTGATATATTCCATAAAAGCCTCAAGCAACAAACTCTCTTGCATAGTGTCTTCTTCTTACACATTGTACTGACTTTAGCATCGGAGGGGCCTTCCTCGGCAACACCCCCGAGGCTAGTTTACGTGTGTTTACTGTGCAGGAAATCTTCGGCCCAACATAACTCGGACCGAATCCAGCCTTCTCCATTTCAGCGGACCTTCGGCAAGGTCCCATTGTTTTCACCCGAAACAATTTGGCGCCGTCTGTGGGGAAGACTTTCAAAAATCTTTAAGCCAAATTCCTAACCAAGATCATCTTGCAATTATCTTAGCAGCAATGGCTAAGAACCGCAAGAGCAAAAGCCTCCGTCAAGGAGCGGGCGAAAAGCCTAAAACCCCTACACCATCGCCCTCGCCGGACCGGAACTCTCCCAAGGGTGCCGGCTCGGGGGGAGGATCATACAAGGAGGATTCCCTATCTCCCGTAATTCATGACTCTCAATATAGGCCGGGCCACTCTCGGTCTAGCAGGGGTCAGTCCGATCATAGGACATATTCAGTGTCCCAAAGCCAACCATCGGCTGCGCGCCCTCATTCCCACACTCGGCCGAGGACCCCTTTGACGGGGCCCAGCTCGGAAGAGGTGGCAAGAGCGCTGGCAGTACTCATGGAGGCGATGAGGGCACAAAATATGCCACCACCTCGTGATCGAACTCCTCCGCATACCCGGCATCAGCGGAGGAAGTTAGACCATGATGGTGGGAAGCTTCCTTCCTTCCGGGAACTGGAAGAGTGGGAGGAGGATTCTTGGAAAAATGAAAAACAGAGGAAAAAGAACCCTCAACTTTTAAAAGGATCCTCATCCTCAAGACCAGAAGCGCATAAGAGCAGCAGCTCAGCTTCTCGGCCAGAATCTACTCACCGAGAACCTGAGACTGTTCGTAGAAGCGTCCTTGACCGACTCGGCGGCCAGGAACCGAGCGTGCGTAGTCGCCTCTCGTTCCCTGCAGCCGAGGCCCAGACTTCCCAGCCAGGGACGAAAACCACTCCTACCTCTCTAAGAGGGCGGAGCGCGGTCCCTTCGGCCAGGAACAAGGGCAAGGCCGTTATGCTACCCGCTAGTTCACCATTCGAGCAATGGATACTGGAAGAGCGCGTACCCACGGTTAAAATCCCTTCGCACATCACATATGACGGGACCACGGATCCGAAGGACCACGTGGCCTCGTATGAGACTCATATGCATCTTTGCCCCAGATCCGAGGCGACTTGGTGCAAATATTTCCCAACCACTCTCAAGGGGGTCGCGCAAGCGTGGATCTCCAAGGGAGTAAGGCAAGGCTCCGTAACAGGGTGGGATGATCTATCCTCCAAGTTCAGGAGCAAGTTTTCCACGGCAAACCGCCGAGAGAAGACTACCGCAGAGCTCATGAGTCTGCAACAGGGGGAAACATAAAGCCTCCGAGACTACCTGACCCGTTTCAGTAACGAGTCATCAAGCGTCTCCCAGCTGGACCAGGGGCTAGCCGTTTTCGCAATGCAGAATGGCCTTCAGCCAGGAAAGTTCCTAGACTTCATGGTCATGCATACCCCGCAGACTTTGGAGGAAGCTCTTAGTGCTTCGGATAAGTTCATCCGAGCCGAAGAATGGAACAAAGCGAAAACCCAACCTCAATCCGGGGGAGGGAAACAGAGGCAAATACCCTTGTCTGAAGGCCAAGGCCATAAGGCAAAGGGAAAGTCAAAGGCCCCGGAGCAATCTTTGGCCAACGACCCAAAGAAGGAAAGATTTGCCTCATACACAGGCAGATACGAGTCCTACACTCCGCTCTCTCTTCCACGCGCCAAAATTTACAGTGTGACGAAGGAGGAGCAGAGTTACCGAAAGCCGAGACCACTCCCAGAGTGGTATCAGCGAAAAAATAAAAATCAGTGGTGTGAGTTCCACGAGTCTTCGGGCCACAACACTGAGGAGTGTATCCAACTGAAGGACCAGATAGAGGACATGGTCCGGAAGGGATACTTGAAAAAATACATCGCGGATCACCGCGAGAAAAAAGAATCCGAGAGGTCAGCAAAGGACCCTCGGCAGGACCTTGATTTCCCCCGGAAAAACAGTAAAAAGCCGGAGGGGAAATTCCCTCCGATCAATGTTATCTCGGGAGGAATATACTCTCGGAGGGAGCACAAGCGCCACCTTAGAGCTTTGACTCACCAGGTGAACAACGCTGACATTCAATCTCCCCAGTCGCCGGTGCCGAACATGACGTTCACAGCCGCCGACTGCCGGGGGATTACGTTCCCTCACGAGGATCCGTTGGTGATCATCGCCACGGTGGCCAACCACGACGTCAGTAAGGTCCTTGTTGACGGTGGCAGTGGAGCAAACATTCTGTTCCGAAAGGCCTACAATCAAATTAAGCTGAAGCCCAAGCACCTTACGCCGGTACCCTATCCGGTATCCGGGTTCAATGGGGCTTCAACTTATCCAGATGGGAAGGTGACACTTCCTGTCACCATCGGTTGCGATGAGGCAGCCCGGAACGTCATGATTGAATTTTTGGTCATCGACGCTCCTTCAGTGTACAACGTGATTTTGGGGAGACCCATAATTCACGAGATCCAAGGGGTCGTCTCAACTTATCATCAGCTGATGATTTACGTCTCAGACGCCGGCTTCCCCGAAAGGATACAGGGCAACCAAAAGGACGCCCGAAGGTGCAACTACCTCAAGCCATCCAGTAGTCGCCCAGATGACGACAAGGATGAGGAGGAGAAAGAAAAAGAAAGAGAGCCAAGCACAAAAAAGCCGAAAGGCCTAAGTGCTTCGGCCCAAGGATCTGTACCCAGAGGTAAAGGGCCCGAAAGGGAAAAGGCTAGCTCCTCAGCTGAGCCGCAAGACTCAGAGAGCCAGCCGAAGAACAAAAAGACTGGGACACCTGCTGACATTGGCAGCAGGCCAGATAATGAAGAGTCCAATCCATCAGCAATGGACATGGACCAACAGACTGAAACAGTTGAGTTGGCCGAAGGAGACGCTGAGAAATGTGTAACAATCGGGATGGACCTTGATCCGAACACCCGTTGCGAACTTATTCAGCTCCTTCGGGATAACAGAGATGTGTTTGCTTTCTCGGCAGCTGATATGCCCGGGATAAGTTCAGACCTCATCTCCCATAAGCTTAATGTTGACCCGACGTGTCGACCAGTTAAGCAAAAGAAGCGGAATTACTCCGCCAATAAGAACCGAGACATCGCAGCCGAGGTTCAA